CTGAGTAAGAGTCGAGTCGCCGACGGGTTCATTTGATAGTTTTCGTTTAAGGCAGAGTGGAGAGAAGGGAGTACAGTCTGAAGTCTCTCGTTTCGTTGTAAGGTTACGTGCTGGTGGCATGAGCCAGAAGCTGGTCTGTCAGCAGCTGGACATCAGCAGCAGCCAGTAGCACATCTGCCTGAGGCGTAATAAGCTGGGACTTGGTGGCAGACTCAGCCCGGCCTCGATCGCGAAAGGCGCCCTTTGGCAAGTGGTGGGGAGAGTTGTCAAGATAGCGACAAAGAAATGGCACTAATTAATCCCCGAAGAAAGATGTCCGGATAATTTCGTTCCACCCTGTAGGAGCGTTCTCCCCGTGCACGTAGACCTAGCACGTGGCGTCATATCACGCAAAATTTTGGCGGCCGCCATTGCCCTTCGTATCAGACCCGGAGTCGGAGTCGGAGTCGGAGTCGGAGTCGGTCAGGAGCCCGGAGTCGGAGTCGGAGTCGGAGTCGGAACAGCGCTACCACGACTCCGAAACCCTGCTTTCAACTATTTCCAAACCAGTGATCGGTTTTATATATCCATTCCTATATATCGGATATATCGTGGGGAACATAGACCTCTACATACCTACATAGAGGTCTATGGTATGTAGAGGTCTATGGTGGGGAAGCAAGAAACTCCAATCCATAATTCGTCTTCTGCCGTCACTGTGACGTAATTTTAAATAAAATCGACACCAAAGTTGGACGCAACCTTGGCTAGCTATTCAGAAATATGTGTGCAAAGTTTCGCTTAGCTATCCTTCGCATTGCGAAGATATCTTCGGAAAAGTAAATGGGGGGGGCAGTTTTGCCCCCCAGCAGCCGTCGGGTGGCGCGGAGGCCCAGAGACTGCTGGGCTAATCTTCTCGTTCGTAACTTTGTGCTTATGCTTTAACCCTATATTCCGGGCGGACTCTGAAAGGATTGATTCTGGGCGGGGCGGGGGTCTTTTCGCCCCCCGCCTTCAGGTCTAAAAACCACACAGCGGAGCGACAAACGGCAAACGGCGTTTGATAGGTCGTTTAAAGATCTACAACTTTTACGCAAAATATTTTCGGATCAGGTCAATCTTGAGGTCACCAGAGGTCATCAACAATAACATGTTTTGGAATTAGTTACTAGTATAGCTTTTGAACTAACAAACATAGAGACATAAACTTCATACATTTTTTGTTGCTCTCGTCAAGGCGATGCGAAATAAGTATGCGATGTCCTTCACATGTCAATTTGAAATTTGACCCGAGGTCGAGCGTCAGGTCATTCACCAATGAGGTTGTGGGGTATGGTCATGTTGCATATCAAACGACGCGCCCTGACCAGGCGAGCAGTTTGGTACCACTTACATGTCTTTAACACCATGATGTCGTGATTTATTGACCAAAAATCTATTTATGACGTCACACGACCTCAGATGACCTTTCCCGGTGCCCCTGTCAATAAGCGGCACCAGGATCATCACCAATGAGATAATCTTCTACGTTACTGAAAGAATTGGTTGGTTTTGACTCGTTTTACACGAAGCAGGAGACATTTCAATATTTTCTCATGGCCTGCAATGTAAAGGTCACGAGTCTGGCCTGAAATTCTGAGATAAACAAATTGCACATACTGTTACCCTAACTAAAACCAGCAGAGAAGAAATTGATCAGTCATAAACTCTAGCTCTGGCGTGATTGCAAACGTTTTCGATGTGGGGTCAACAAAGCGCCTCTGGTGACCTGACCTGACCTGACCCGGCAACTTTTTCTTGTCAAAATGTGCGCAATGAATGTAAAGGAAGCGTCACCGAGTATGAGCTTTCAGTCTTGCGGCGTTTGGCAATGGCACAAGAAAACCCTGAGGGAGAGGGGGGGGGGCGGAATCGCTCCCCCCTCGCCGGAATAGGGTTTATCTGCACGAGCTTACGCAATATCACTATCGGTCGATAGAATACGCTCAGTCGTGGCGCAGTCCTTCGTGTCTCAATTCGCGGACAAAATGAATAGCCTCAGTCAGTAGCTGTTGACAGCAGGTGTTAGCGCCACCGACAACGGGGACGCCTTGGTCGATAATAAGCTCAGCGCTGCAATGAAGTCGCCATTTGTTGTGACTGTCAATGTGACTCTCTGACCTGGGGCCACTCGTGGAGGTGACCAGACTTCGGTGGAACGCCCCGCGACCACAGCGGGACGTCGCTGAAGCATTGCTGATGAAGGAGTGGAATGCACGACGACTTTGTTTTCTCGCTATCAGGACCGCCTTCCCGGCCAAAGAAGAGAACGCGAGATCTCAGAAGAGAATAATGATTGTATTGAATTGAAATGCAGTCTATGCCACTATTTATTATGCATGCATCATATTTATTCATTACCACGACTTGGAAGCCAGCGCATCAAGTGCATTTAAAGGAACTCTTCCATTTTTCCTTACATTTGATTTGCTGATGTAATGGTGCACACAATGAAAATATTGTTTTGTGCAATAACAAAATGTAATCGCCCTGTGGCCTAGAGATCCGAGACGGAAGAACAAGGATTTGCTGTACGATCAAACTTCACAGGGAAGTGGGGTATCCGGGGGCTTCCAGTCGCTGATTGATCTATCCAGTGGGCAATTATTAATAATAGCTGTTCCCGCAATTAATTGCTGTCGTTCCGGTCCAATCAACGTCCACCAACTCAGGCAGGCACCATGAAATATGCACCATATGAAACATGCACCGCGTCTTATCGTGCGAAAAGTCCTCAGAAAGCCTAAAAGTGACAACTAGCTGCCTTAACCACAACTTAATCTAGATGACAGGCCTGTAGTTGAGGAATATTCACGTACAATTAGTTATATTCAGTTCAACATTTAAATTACATACCTATCATTCACCGAACCCCCAAACATTTGTCAAATTATTGAAATGAGTGAGAACGTTTTCAAGTGCACCTCATCAAATATCGCAGTAAGAACTCAGAAAGAACTTTGAGTGAGAGTTACAGGTAAGTGTAAACAATTAAGTAGCAGCGAGTTTGTCTTACAGCTAATCCCGAAATAAAGCGATTAGTTTTCCTTTGGTCTATGCCTGAGTGGCAGCTGCTGGTTTATTTTTAATTCCGGCAATTTGTGCCACGACAGCAGCAGCCGTGGTAAATGAGTGCGGAAGCACGGCTGAATATGCTAAGTGGATTCGTGTGAGGTCCCTGCAGTGGTAAAATACCTAGCGTAGTGGTGTAGGTATCCAACTAAACAAAACCACCTCTCTTTTTGTCTGAGAGGCAGACACCAATCCATAACTTAAGTTCAGTGTAGAACTACCAAAGCAGCTGCTAAGAGTTGAAGAAAATCGTGTATTATCTGGAATGATTTCCATTCAAGAGATCGGCATGCGAAGACCCGATAATCTTTGGTTTACCAGACTCCACCTCAATAGGTTATTCGGCCCGAATATATATGCATCTCTACTTCATATATGTCTAAAACATAAAGGTCATGAACGTAATTAACTTTTTAGCCTTCAATCTTTTACCTACATTCATCCGCGCATTTGCGATTTGCTTTGGGATACGCTGAGCAATATTTGGCACAGAAACTGTCTTTGACACCTCTGAAATGAGCCTGTGTCTTTCCCCTTAAATGCATGTCCAGACTATAATGCTAAGCAATGCCTAGAAACTTCATCAATATCGATCCCGACCCTAAAAAAATCCGTTAGAATCCTTGGCTTACGTGGCTGTAACTACAAACACATTCAGATAATATTCTTTTTTATGCTTATTTCTAATTTTGAGTCAGCCATCCCATGAATACATCGCCGTGCTGTGAACGGGCCATAACAATGTGCAGCATTTTGACAACAGATAACTGCATAACTGCAAAGTGTTGCACTGTAGTACTTACATCACAGGAGGATGATTATTGATTATAATCACATTGATTATAATCACAGGAGGATGATTATTGATTATAATGTGTAAAATATTATGAATATTGAGCACATTGTTGATGAAAACGTCATTTCCTTACTTTAGACAAAACTTCATGATTTCCTAAGACGTTATTAGCAGTCATGAGGTAATATATAATACTGAACGAGGCCGGTGTAAATAAATTTTCAAGACCGAGGTCCTTACTGGATTTTTGAACGAGGCCGAAGGCCGAGTTCAAAAATCAGTAAGGACTGAGGTCTTGAAAATTTATCACCGGCCGAGTTTGGTATGTATTTTACTGTATGCCAACGATAAATTTATTTTCTGGACCGAAGCTCTTAGCCGACTTAGGAACGAGACCATCCCAAAATGTTCGCTTAAGTGCATTCTGGTAATGCATTTTTGACCGTGGTCAATTTGCTTACACCAGTTATTACCACACCCCTCTGGCTAATGTATTTGAATAGGCCAGGCATACAGTAACACCAGAGCTCTGCAATGCTCTGGTGTAAAACTATGACTTGTGTGAAAGACAATAAAGTTTATTAGCCGCTCCTAGCCCACATGAACTAAATACGCTAGGCATTTCCTCTGGCCTATTCGAACACATACCAAAGGAACCCTTTCAAAATTAACATTGAACAATCATCGATATTATTTGAAAGCTTGTTAGTCCTTGGTGATTTTCTTCTAGGCTTCTCCTTTTTCGTTCTTTTGTGCAAGACGGTGTGAAATTCCCGTCATACCGATGTGTTTCGTGACACATTTCGTGCGATGTTTTTATATTGTACGGTGGACGTTTTGCAAAAGGCACTGCATGGATCATCGTTTTGTTGAATATTGTGTGTGAACCACCCGCGTATGCAGACAACCGTGAGTGACTGCCTCATGTATAATCCGTCTGTGGGTGGTCATTTGCAATAGTTTGCATGAGGAGTATTGACCACCATTAATTCTGTCATGTAGGAACCGCCGTATGTGGACCTGTGTAGACAACCGTGTGTGGACAATATGTGGACCATGCTGTAGACCTGTGGACGGCCGGCTTCCACCTGTAGACGGTCTTCTGGGCACCCACCTGGCGTCGATCCTGGTGCTGGCTGCCGGCGGCTACACCTGTTCCCGAGACGGCTGCGACGTCCGCCCCTGATCGGCTCCCACTCGACCGGTCACTACCCACACCGCAGGCTGTCGGCCTTTCCGAAAAGTCGGCGTCTGCGCGGCTGGGGGTGCAGGGGGGACGGTGGAAGGCCGCCAAGTAAGGCGGACCACCACAGCCGCCTATAATTACCAGCGTCCCCGACCGTGCGCGGCGCGACACTCCTGTCCGTCTAGTGAGCGGACGGCGGCGGCGGCGGCGGCGGCGGCGGCGGCGGGCGCGCGCGCCGGCAGCGCGGCGCCGGGGGCAGTGTCGGGCTGATCGGGCCCGCCGGCTGCCGGCAGTCGCGCTGCAGAGCGGCGGACCGTGCCGGGCTGACGGCGCCGCCGTGCACGGCCGTATGTATCAGTTCCATCGCCGGTCATCGGACAGCGCGACCGGCGCGGTGACCGGCGGAAAGGAAAGCGAGGACAGGCGGGAGGGGGCGAGCCGCGGACATAGTTCTCGGATCTGTTCAGGGACAGGGAGCCAAAGTATGCTAAGCAGCCGAAACAGTTACAAGCGGACGAAATAAGTCGGCATCGATTCGGAAGGCAGCCGTATCAGTTTAACAGCCGTGCGCCGAAAGAGCGAGCTTTGATAAGTTTATCGTGAATGAAGCATCTAAAGGCGTAACTTGAAAACATGATTATAATTTAGGTGCACCGGAGGGCTGGATATTTTCTTGATTAGAACAGCTGTTCCGGCAATAACCACAAACAGCCACAAATATTGAAATTAAACATGTTATGCCAACTTGCCTAAAAGAGCAGAAAAATGTGGTCAGTGGTACCGACGTACGCTAACCGATAAATGTCCATTGAGCTGTTAAGCCTTTTAGCCATGGCGAAAGTCGGCACCTTTCAATCATATATTGATATGACGAGAAAGCCTACAAATAAGGTGTAAAAGCCTTCCAATGTTTTCAATTGTATGCTATATGACTTGAGAAAGTATACTTTTAACCGCGATATTACCATCGGCGTTCTTTTTATGGCCATCGCCTTGTTTTATCGCAAAATTTTGGTGTTACCTCTTTTGATGTATCTATAAACTAACCATAAACCGTCTTAGCGGCGCGCTGGGAGCACCATCCAGACAAATAAGACGCGGTGGTCGACTAATTTCCCAAGCTAATAGATTCCATAATGAGGAAGCCACAGCCTATGCCATGACATTGTGTCGTAATCATGAAGATTAGAGAACAAAATGCAGTCACTGAACCAATAACATTATCGATCTAGTTAGGCCTTACAAATGGATGCCAGCGTGTCGAATAAATAACAATTCGCCTAGGACAAGTTGTTTTAAGTAAGCGACACCACAAATAAATCCAGATGTCAAGTCGGATCCAGGTCGGATCAACAAACCGGCCCATAAATTGCACCTTCCCTTTATCGGAGGTCAGTAACACATCGCCAGAACAAATGTCCCGCCCGCCGCGTCAGTGACCTGTGGCCGGAGACAGCTTAGCAGCTATTTCGGACGGTTCCGTGTGCACAGTTGGGCGGAGTTAGTGGCCGATTCGACAACGCTGGCGACAACGGGACTGACAAATGACAGGCGACAGCGGCACAGACAAACGACACTATCTGTCGGGAAGTCAGTGTGATTTCGGGTAGTGTCAAACCGCCTGCTGCCCCCCCCCCCCCCAAAGCCCAGAGATCGATGATGCCGTGGGGCTCGTACAAGGGTACTAGGATTGGCGTCTGTCCGGTGCAAACAGACGCCAGTGCAAACAGTGCAAACAGACCTCTTTATCACAGTTTACATTTGGTGAGAGAAACTGATACCCGGGATCTGCTGGAGCAGGGCTTTCGTGGGCGAAATAAACGGCTGCTGCTGGATTAGAATATGCCTACTGCCTGACCGATTAAAACTGCTACTGTACTGCTAACTAGCCAAAACGACTACAACTGTTCTGCCAATCAGCACGGGTACCTGTTCTGCTTGCCGGTCGGAGCGGCTCGGCTACAGAGCTGCAGGACTGCTCCGGTGGTCTGCCGAGTCGGCTATGCGTTGCGGTCAGATTAATACCGATTATTGGCATAGGACTGATGAGTTGCCGATGTAGTTACTATACCTAAACTTCTGTAGCTATGGTTGCTGGACTGTTCAAAAAGGTCACAGGGTCTCTGATGCTGGGATCGCCTAGTCGTCGTTAACAGACCAATCACCCACACTACGATTAGTCTAAGTAATTGGTTGCTAATCAAGGAACTAGGAAGAGAGGATGTCCGTTAACAATTGACATTCAAAGTTGTATTTTGTGGGCACTGACAAACATGCAACGCTCTAGCTGAGATATATCATAACATTATCCTTATCTGGTTTACACTATTGTTACTGGCTCTTGCCATTATCTTCGAGTCGGAGTTAGGTATGGTGTGCAATATTTTAGTAATTGACCATTATCGGCAGCTACCTACCACGAACCGTTATGGATTTGGCAGATCCGAGATTCTCAGAACACGGGAATTAAGCAGGGTCCGTTTAACCAGCTCACGGCTTCGGGCGCCTCTGCCATTGGGCGCCAATTACACACTGGTGTCCAATGTGTGCTGAAGGATCATAATGACACCATTAATCACAATTAGCGTGTAATCCGGCCCGGGGTATGGACAACTCTATGTCGTGATGGGGCCGTTGGTGTGCCAATTAGGCGATGATTGGATCGTGTTCAGCGTGCAGAGGAGGCACGATGCCACCCCCACGGCCGGGGACAGACTGATCCGGTCTATACGGGCGCTCATGGTCGGAGGACAGCCCGCCTGGCAACCGCCTGAGCCGTGAGGAGCTCAGACACGCCGAGAGGAAGGCCCGTGTTCGATTCCAGGTCCCACGCAGGTCGTACTCCCAACCAGAGATAAGCGGCCGTCACAATCTTTAGGACACTAGCTTTTCTCTCTCTCTCTCTCTCTCTCTCTCTCTCTCTCTCTCTCTCTCTCTCTCTCTCTCTCTCTCTCTCTCTCTCTCTCTCTCTCTCTCTCTCTCTCTCTCTCTCTCTCTCTCTCTCTCTCTCTCTCTCTCTCGCTCTCTCTCTCCTCTCTCTCCTCTCGCCTCAAAACCTCTACTCAGTCCCTAAGCCGTTGCGCCAGAAGCAGCGAGAAATACAAACCCTTTCTCTTCGCTACGCGCTGTTTGCCACGATATTTGCTACAAACCTGGGCCAGCCGAACCCGTAACGGGCTAGGGTGTGTTAGTCCACAGAAGCATTTCTCACACGGCAATTCGCCTGTGAACCTGGTATAATTTTGACTTTGATCCTTTCACTCCTTGTGGTAGGCATCAGCGCTAGAAGTAATTCGGGAGGCGCATTGGGAAATTGGTTGCTCTATTTCCCTCTCTTGAAGTAATTTGTAACACTTTCGGAGAACGGAAACCCCAAACAGCCTGTACCAAACTTCCGAGTGAAAACGCTATTTTTTTTGCTTGATCATGCCTTTGCATTTCAAGACAATTGTATCATTTATTTATCTTTCGAATATTTTCTGCTCTGGTTCGTTTTCAGTTAGCTTCCATTTGTTTTTCTTTAGTAAATGACATATGATAGTGCCCCAATGGCTGACGGCTGGGTACGAATTTGTAGGATTACGAAATTTATTAATTTACTAAGCCTGGGACATTGGAAAATAAATTATTGATTGGTTGTCCACGCTGCACTGATCATAGACCTGTGCATTGTGGACTGTGCTGAGTGTGCAGACCGGATAAATGAGATGTTAGAGGAATACAGATCTAACTGCACGGGTTTTTACCGCGGGATATCAAACCCCGCCGGGCCGGGGTGTGTGTTTGAACACTATTCCTCTCCAGTTAAACTCGGTTCGTAAGTGTCGTAGCGATCGCAGTAAGCGACATTCGAAAAAAGGAAAAAAATCGTAACGAAAACACTTGTAAAGTGAGTTTGTTGTCAGGTCAATCAATTGTTAAGTGACGTTAAATGCAGTGGCTGATCCAAAGGGTGAGGGCTCACATGGGTCATGACCCCCCCCCCCCCCTGGGGACCGGGGGCACGAAAGGCCTGCTAGGGGCATCACAGGCTCGCGGAGCACCACAGGCCCGTCAGGGACACCACAGGCCCGTCAGGGGCACCACGTGGGCCTAGCAGGGACACCATGCACGGACCTGTCAGGAGCACCATAGGCTTCGCAGGGGCACCATGCAAATCGCAAGCCTGTCAGGAGCACCATTAGCCTAGCAAGAGCAACACAGGCCTGCTTACAATGGGCAAATTTGGTTGTGGCCGAAAGACACCGACCAAAAATAAAAGGTATATAAGAAAATCTATGAAAATAGGGCACCACCAAAATTAAGTGGCCGAAATCCGTTGGATTTTTAATTTTGGGTATAGGTAAGGGCATCACTTTGATTCATGACCCTCACCTTGGAGTTTTCCTGGATCTGTCCCTGACTAAATGGCCGGTCACCAAAGATTACCTATACAAGGACAAACTACGCCTATTTTAACACTTTTTGACAAATCGGTGCATAACTCGGGAACCAATAAAGCTTTAAGCTACATTGCCGTGGAAAAGCGCATCAATTTGCTTTTTAAAACCTCTTCCCGATTGATATTCTTATTTAACCTAGCATAAACGGTTTAGCCTAAAGAGAGAGAATTACTAAGAGTTGACGCTTCGAATATTTTTTTTCTGCAATAAGTTTTGTTACCAAGCTTGCATAACGATTATTTTACCGGCATTGTGTTTCTGTTGTCGAAAAGCATCGAATGAATTGAAATTTGGTCTTGAAAAGTAAAATATCGATATTGAACTTCGACCTAGGTCCAAGGTCGTCATCTAACCGGAAAGGGCCATGCGATACACTTTAACCTCACCCTGGCAGGGGAAGATGTCGATGCGACCTACACCCCCCCCCCCCCCAAGGTTTTCAAAGATAGCGTAAAAACGTGCCGCCAAATTTGGCACAGCCTGTGGGGCAGCCTTTTTACATATGGCTGAAAATTTCAGGTTCGGGTGACCTTGAGTCAGGTCACCAGGTCAGAAAACCGGTACAAGGTCATGGTCAAATTTTAATTGTCTTTATGCACCTTTCCAATTCACAGTTTTGGACTGATTTCCTTCAAACTTTCAGATGTGCGAAGTTCACCGAGCTGTATAACAATATAGTTCGTTTTTTTGGTCTCGCTGACCTGAGGTCAGTTAGAGGTCATTACGTCGTAATGAATTATATGGGAAAATATTCAAATACCTAACTCCAATACGGAGAAAAACTAGAGATATCCGCTTCATTCTATCACTTTTGTGCTTTGATACCACAGTACTTCACATTAGCCGTTTTCACGACGACCATCTGGTACACATTTGGTGCACATCTGGTGCAGACAGGTACAGATTTGGTCAAATCAGGTTCAGTGTGTCTCTTAGTAGCTATCAGCTAGGGTTGCACTATTTGCTTATATGCCTGCTTTGTCATATTATCAGAGAGTATCATCGATTAAAACACTGAAATAAATTCATAAAATAAAGATATTTGCTATAAAAGAAATTAGGTGCAGATTTGGTCAAATCAGGTGCACTCGCCGGATAGCCCGTCGTGAAAACGGCTATCATGTCACATGGTTTTTCTTTGTTTGGTGTTCTTATCCAAAAGTCAAATGAGGTCAACTGAGGTCAAATGACGTTTGTGCCATTAACTTGTCACATAATTTTTTATTTATTTATTTATTCAGGCCTCCCTCCAACGGGCTCATATACTCCCATTTATAGGAGGGCTCCTCATCCCCCGGCCCTTTTCCCCACCCCCAGGCTACGGCTGAAGTGGGAGCCTACCCCACACCTGGTGACACAGCCGGGGACGACGCCCGCGGAACGGGCGGAACCGGGAATCGAACCCGAATCCGGCACCGCCCGCACCGCGGGTCGACGCCTTAACCGACTGCGCCGTGGCGGCCCTGGTGATAATAAAGATAAAGCTTTCAAAATGGTATGATTCTGTTCCTCTTGAAAAGCCGAGTCGAATGACATGCTACATTAAGCATTTCGACAATTCTTAAGACTTAGATTTTACTTAAGTTTATTTAAACTTTATTTAACCCTCGCCCTGGCAGGGCATTTTTCATAACACGGCCTGGCAGGGGGGGGGGGGTCGATGCGACACCCCCCTCGCGATTGGCTCCTATGGCACCTAGAAACACCAAATTTGGTAGGTAGGTGGGCCCACTGGAGCTCTCGTCCCTGTGCAAATTTGGTTGCTCTAAGTCAATATTTAGCGGGGTTTGGGGGGTATAAAGGAAAAAATTTCGCTAAAAACAGGTTAAAAGTTTTTCGCTTATAACTTTTGATGTAATTAAGATAGAGCAAAAAGAAAAGCACCAGTGAACTCAGCACGTCAAGGCGCGTCGAATGATATACTTTTTAGCTTGCTTAAGTGTACTTAATTTTTTTCTTAAATTTTAAGTAAACTTAAATTAATGAATTAAGTTTAAGTTAACCAAATTGCGTCATATCGCATATCATTCGATTCGGCTGATCACCAGGAACACAATGATACCATTTTTAAGCTCTAGCATCATTATGTGCCAAGTTATTTGCAAAAACGTCATTTGACCTCAGTTGACCTCATTTGACCTGACCCATGGATAACTACACCAAACAAAGAAGCACCAAGTGACCTGCTGTTAAGTACTGTGGTTTCAAAGCACAAAAGTGATAGAACGAAGCGGATATCTCCAGTATTTTCCGAATTTAGTATTTTCCCATAGGCTTAACATTACGACGGAATGACCTCTACCTGACCTCAGGTCAGTGACCTCAAAAACCCTAATTATATGTTATACAACTCGGTGAACTTAGCACATCCTGCAAGTTTGAAGGAAATCAGTCCAAAACTGTGAGTTGGACAGGTGCAAAAAGAAAATTGAACTTTGACCATGACCTTGTACCGGTTTTTCTGACCTGGTGACCTGACCCAAGGTCACCCGGACCTGAAATTTTCAGGTCATATGTAAAAAGGTTGCCCCATAGGCTGTGCCGAATTTGGCGGCGCTGCGCGCCGCCGTTTTTACGCTATCTTTGAAAAACCTTAGGGGGGTCGCATCGACCCCCCTGCCAGGGCGAGGGTTAAGTTTTAAGTTTAGGCCGTAAAATTGACCTGACTTCACGTTAGGTACAGATACCTATTGAAAATCCGATTTTTTTTTTGTATATCCTGCCACTTTATCAATCGTTGACGTTTACTTGACTGACGTTTTAAAACAAACAGTTTTCTAGTGGCCCTGTGACGAGCGTTAACCCACGTCGTGCTGGTGGTCTGAGTTTTCCGTGTCGCGCCTGGGGGGGGGGGAGGCGTTTTCACGCCCCCTGTCTAACTCATCTCTTGGGCAACGTAGCGACATACTGTAAGCGGCATGGAAAGAGCGCAAAAAAAAAGAATAATGACGGAAATACCTTAACCAATTTCCAAGTCAGGTCAAAGGTCAGGTCACCAGAGGTCATTAAAGGTCAGGTTTTGTCTATTTCAACAATTTTCGAAACACCCGACGCATAACCCGCGCCCCGTAGGGGGGGCCGAAACGGCCCCCCCTGTCCTTTTCGGTCGATATCTCCTAAACGGCTGGAGATATCGCCACCAAACTTTCAGGACCCCTCCGGGCATCAATTTTACACATTGTGACCAAAAATTTTTCCAGAGGCTGTGATAGGTTGGCCACAAATGACGTCAGAGTGACGTCATGTTCTGTCATTTTCGACCGAAAAAAGACCTTCGCGAGAAGACCTGTCAGGCCTACAGCTTTGAAGATACAGAAAAATGATCAGGCATAAAAGGTGTAGAATTGACAGGGCTACAAAACTGCTATCTCGGATTTGTGAAATTTTTGAGTTTTGATCCCCAAAAATCAAAAAAGCATTTTTTTTGGATATATTAGCCAAAAAATCCAAAAAGTTTTTTGAGTTTCGAAAAAAACCGGAATATATGTGATAGTACCTACCGTCTTCTATCTACATACCAAATTTCAGATCGATACCTCGTTTTTTGGCCAAGTTATAGCGAAAAAACTGTTCAAAAATGATGACGTCAATTTTTCAAACTCAATTTTTGGCAATTCTAGAACTCGTAGAGCAAAACAAAGACCACCATTAGACTCCCCGTGACGAGCTGCATCGAATGGATACCCATTTTATGCAAAAATATCAACTTTGAAATTTGACCTAATTTGACCTGACCTTGACCTGACCTTCACCAAAACGTGATCTAGGCTGGCCCCAAAGGCTGCCTAACCCACATAATCGCATTTGTCATGTAAAATGGACCATAAAACATGTATCACACGACACATTCATATTGTGACCCCCGGTGACCTGACCTCGCTGTGACCTGACCTGGTATCAGTGACCTCAGATAGCAAAGTATGTGTTTGACGAACAATATACCATCGATGGTTTTCAATAAGTTACCAATTTACTCGATTTCACAGCACATTTTTTGAATTGCCTGTGAACGGTGAAAATCTGACCTTTGACCTGACCTGTGACGTCATCGGTTTGACCTAGGTCAATGAAATTTGGTCACAAGGTAGTTCCCGGATAGGGCTATCAAACGCCGTTTGAATTTTGAAAATCGGCCGGTAACTTTCCGAGATCTTAGGGGGGGGCCGAAACGGCCCCCCCCCCTACGGGTGGTAGGGTCCGCCGGTAGCCCTACGGGGCGCGGGATAACTCATCAACCAATAGAATTACAGCGCTGCGGAAAAGCGCATTTAATAGCTCTTTCACAGACCTTTCTGATCATTGTTCTCAGATTTGACCTAAGGTTTAGCCTCCAGAGGCAAAACTAAAAACGGTGTAGCTACAGCGAGCCTTTGAACTTTCTCTGAGGCAAGGTCACTTGACGTGACCTGGTGACCTGACCTTGAACGACCCGGGCCTGAAATTTTCACATCATGTGCGGAAAATATGTATGAACAGGTGTACCGTAATTTTGAGATATTCGCGAAAAACCTGAGGGGGATGGGCGTGAGACCGCCCCCCAACGCGGCGCTGACCTCTTTAGTCTTTAGGTCAGCTCGCTTGACTTGACCAGTTGACCTGACCTTGAGAGACCCAGGCCTGAAATTTTTACGACATATGCAGGTGAGATGGAGACTGGAGCTCAAAAGGTGTGCAAAATACGGTGTCGTTCTGCGGCACCGTTTTTTTTAGACATCTGCAAAAAAAACAAACGCACAGGTCCTCCTTCATGGTATAGGGCGCAGGTTTCGTACTGATTGGTTTTAACTTTAACGTTTGATCCGCGAATTTTAACTTCGCGAAAAAGCCTGTTGATAATATTCTACTGAAATCCTAGCGCAGGTTAAAAAAAAAAAAACAGTATAGTTGCATCAGACGCTACTGTTTTCATTTTTGATTTATTGTCTCGATTCGCTCACAAATGTATCCCAAGTCCCAATACATGTATGGAATATCAATACCAATGACACTGGTGACTCGCAGCCTCTCCCCATCGGCGATACCCCCCCCCCCCCCATCCACAACACACAACACACAACCCAGTTGTTGTTGTGGGATCTTTGTGCTCCACTGATGAGCGGGTGTTTCGTATGCTTAACATTAAACTAATGAGTGATGCAACGATCTACATTTCAAGTGTTGGGCAATTCTCGCCTGATAGATCATTCCCCATCGTAGTGATAACATTCAGTTGAATTCACTGGTCTGTGAGTCACTGTGATTAATGTTGAACACAACCAACGCCTAAGTGATAAAACCATTGATAGTAACTAGGTACTCGAATTCGTTATACCTACAATAATATGAGCGCCGTTCTATTTTATTCCTTACCAACTAAACCCTTGTGTTTACAAGCCAACAAGAAAGAGAACTTTGGATCAACCAGCAACCCACGTAAATATATCTCATATCAACTATGATACATTCAACATGACGTACTCGTTTGGGTGTTCTCGTATTTTTTCATGCTCTTGACCGTGCTGGAGAGTCATATGCGTCTGATGATACCCGTATCATGACACTGTCCTCAAATATCAATGGCTTTCTGACTCTCTCCTTTCCCTCTCACACATTGCGAAGCAGTCCTCTTCTAAAAACACTCCGCCCTCTCTCGGCCGAGCGAGCAAAGGCGAGTCAATCACAGGGCGTCAATTTGTGTTTCGCTCGAGCGATCGGCCAGGCGACCAGCCGAGGGCGACAGTAGTTTGCCCGCAGATGGCAGCACACTGCGGCCGGCAGATGTCAGCACTGTCTGCTCGCCAGGCGGCAGTCCGGAGCGGCCGTTGGAGGCTAGGTGGCGCTGCTCGCCGGGGTCGGACGGCCGACTGGTGCCGGCCCTCTCCTGTCATGGGTTCTCGGTGGGTACCGTTTGCTCGACAGTCGCCTCCGCATCCGTCCGAACGCTGTGCATGTGCAGCAGCCGGCTGAAACAGGGGATCATTTCGCAACGTAAGCTAATGGCTACGTAGTACGTTATTAGACCGCACGGCATTAGCAATAGATCCTCCGATCCCTCCTATTCCATCCTCAGGACGCATAGACCCCTCTCCACGCCCCACATCATCTGTTCAGGGCTGGACAGTCACCTCCGTCCGATGTGAGTAGCTGCTCAGGTCTCAGGAGTAGGCCCATCATGTGGTGGGGTGACCGTTAGCGGGGCTGGTCGGCCTGTCTATGTGACGGGCCCAGCCCCGGCGGCGCAAATGGGTGGACGCCCAGACCAATGTCTCCCGCTAATTTCTATTGTCCTTCGGGCTTCAAAATAGCGTCATCAGACTAAAAGAACCTAGCCCTAGAAAACAAGCAAACAAAGATATAGGTGGTGAGTGCCTGGTAAGCTAGCTCATAGAAGGACAAAGTTGCAAACGGTCGAGATGGGTGAAACGACGCTTTCATCTCCCATTTGTCTTCGTCATTTTTTCATTTCAGACAGAATTGTCAGCACAGCGCACTGTTTAGGACTGAGGGTCACCCCAACCAGGCATTCGTTAGGGGTCACTCCAAATTGTGCACCCTTCCGAAGTAATCGTATGTGGGGCTGAGTGACCCGTCCACCGGCCACCAGAGCACCCCTGTCCCACAGAGCGGGTTCAGCCGCGGCAGCGGCAGCGCATCAGCCGGTGCTCGCATCAGCCCGATGCCTCATGCTCTCATCCCATAACCGTGAAATGGCTCGGAGGCTCGGAAGCACAGCCAAACAATAAGCAATAAAAATGATATCGGAGAAATGTAAGCGCCATGACACCTAAGCCATCTTTGTAGGTAAGTGTGGCTACCACGAGGAAGCGGCTTGTGAAGAAGCCTGTGAAATTCATGATCGATTGGCGACTGGCGTGGGAAGCCGGTGACTGCAATTTGGAAATGCTCGTTTTTGTTTTTGTTTTGTTGGGTTAGGCCCTTTCGGTCGACAAGACCATTGCAGAGCCGGATGGATGATAGGAATTAGGGGGAGACATTGGTCTGGGCAGGCATCCTAGTGAGTCGCCGGGGCTGAACCCGTCCAGAGGACAGGCCACCCAGCCCCAAGGCACTCACTGCACCCGGCTACGGGGTGCGCTCCCTCGGGAGCAGCGGTGCCGCTCCAAGGGAGCAGCCCGCATGAGATAAAGTTGCCTGCCCAGCCCGGAAGGGGGTTGTGGCGTGGAGGAAAAGGATTTCAGTATCCTGAGGATAGAAGCACGGAAAGGTGGAAAATGCTCGCAATCACATGGCGGCCTTTTGTGAGTCATCGAGGAAAAGGTAGGAAGTTATATGATAAATTTATATCGCGAGTTCCGTGTTTCATAGTTAACTCATCATATTATGAAAAACATGTCATGCTATTTACATTGAATCTGTCTTCCACGTCAATGCCTAAAATTATCTTCAATTTAAAGGCTACTTCACTTGTCATTTTGTCTGAAACCCTATATCACAAAGCACGACAGGCGTACATTTGGGCCCGCTCCGCTGCCACGCTCGGTTGCCTGCCCATTTACCATAATCAGCGCGTTGGGAGCAAGGGTCGCGTTACTAGTCGACTAACTCATTAGTGACTGCCAGGCGACAGCTGTGTGGCAGCGGCCCGTACGGACGCGCTGCCGCGGCTCACGGTTCGAGCTGACGCAGCTGGCAGCTCGGGACCGACACAGCTCGCAGTCCGAAACTGTCTCAGCTGACAGTCCGCAACTGTCTCAGCTGACAGTCCGAAACTGTCTGGGCCTCGGCAGCTCTGAGCTGTCACTACTCGGCAGGCGAGGGAGCCACGCCGGAGAGGTCAACCCGGACCGTGAACTGATGCCCGACATCGCCCTACCTCTCGAGAGCCGGCTCATTTTTATACATAAGCCCGCCGGCCCCGGGTGGCGAATGTCTCATCAAAGCAGCTCCGAGGACAATCAATTATTGGTCCGAGAGTGAAGGGCCACTCGAGAATCAGTCAGCGTAAAATAAGACCGACTTGACTGCCGAGTCAGCGATTGCATAGCTGAAAACGGAAACCAGCCCTCCTTAATTAAAACTGTGGCCAGTGAATAGAAAAACTCTGAAGGATTTGTAAAGAAAGAACAGGCTTCACTCGAAAGAGAGCTAGAGCGTTGCATAGCCAACAGCTGCGTCCCTACATTCGTCCGGCATTCAGAGGAAACCCAAAGAAACGTGATGCAAACAAGACACTTACTCGTCGCATTATTGTCTCATTTTCTCAGGGTGCTGGTGAAACAAATTTGGTCTTGCCTTTTTACCACCAAAATTAGCATATTCATTTTAAGCGTGCCACGTTTGCATCCTATGGCCTATTTGGCTTCACAAACATTCACCCGTTCTGCTAGTGTGCATTTGTATTACGGATCATTTTTCTTGTTAAGCTTTCGTGAAGAAAAAGGCAACTACAGCACCGGTATTCTGATTTCGGTTGTGATCCCTGACTCGGAACATACTCGCCTATAAATCTTGCCAGACTGCAGCCATTTCAAAACTCGGGCAATGAGCCATCCATGCGCACGGAGCCATCTACAACGAGGACAATATAGGTACGAGTACCTACCTGCAAGCCAATCGTTAAATAGGAACCAAGTCAATTTATAGTTTTACCTCATACCTCTTTTTTGACAGAAATTCGCAAAACAACTGTGAACTTACCATAAAGGCAGTACCATAAAGGCACACAACTTACCATACCATAAAGTGCCACCATTTTCTTTTACATCTATACGATGCAGAGCAGGCCGACGCACTGGGCACTGTCCCACCCTCCTGTTGCTGCCATGACCAGCGGCTCTGCTGCGGACTCACCAGCTGGCTTTTCTGTCGATGTGCGACGGTCTCCGACAGCCGAGCTGGCGCTGCACGCTCATGTCGTGCCATTGTTTCACCACCGCATCACGCACCTGTCAACACGCAGACAGACATACAGACCTGAGCAGCGAGACAGACGGACAGATACAGGGGGCCGTGACCAGTGAGCACAGCACGGGTCTGTCACATGCGCCCGACACATGTGGTATAATGACCGCTATACGGAGCACAGCACGCTTAGCATTGACCGACGCATTGCCGACGCGCAACGCCGTCTAATTACTACGGAAATGCACAACATGTGTACGTACATACTCTTGAAAGTGATAATTTGAAAGTGACGATACGATGCAAGTAGTGACGAGACGAAACTGGAGGAAGAGCCTCCAGTTTTGTGAGGCATGGTGCGAAACACGAACAATGAATGATCACTATACTAATAGGTGGTTAAATAAGGAGGATGCAGTCAACAAGCACAGAGGGAAAGGGCGTTATCTCAATTGATAATGTAATTCGTATAATGATGTTTTTCGTACTCCACGAAAAACATCATCTCACGCTCTCAGTCCCAGCGGATAAAAACAACACCTAAGAATAATTCGTATAAGTGTGCCCTGTGACATTTCTGACGTGCATTGAATAGAAAATTAAATAGAAATTGAATAGAAAAGAGTGTAGGTATGTAGAACGCGGAAAATGAGAACACGACAGTTTCCGAAGTAAAGGATGGACATTTGCACAATTGTAGTATTTCTGGCATGAAACAATGTAAGTACACTGATTGAAATAGCAATAACATGGCCAACGGATACAAGTTCTCTGAGCGTGGCCGATCGACGTATAGATATGTTCGATGTGATACGAAATGGCGATTTGTAACGCTTGCAGTCGCAAATAAACATGTTGGCCATACCCATCCAATTATTTGCCAATTTATCATGAGACTGAAAGTCACTGCAAAGTTTCGCTGCGACGAAAACTTGTCAAAAAATGGCAGCTAATCAATGTCAAAAAATTCAACCTCAGTTACATTTGACATAATCAGCACAGATTCCACCCGTTGATGCCTATTCCCGGCCTGTGCGCCCTCTGTGCCGTCTCCATCCCCATGGACAGCCCTCGAATTCCCCGCGGCGCGATCAGATCAGTACAGTCTCCCCGTGCAGTAATCATTTCGGCTCCGAGTGGGCGGCGTACCGCGCGAAGCGATCACCCCCAGGCTCGAGTCGCTGCGCTCCGAGGCAGCCACGGCTCAATCGGGCCACATCAAGAGGCGGCCGCGGCGGGCCTCATAATCATCAGGCTACACCGCTCGGCCGGATCAAAGCGGCCGGTGCCGGGCGGCCGCTGCAGCGCCGCTGCGGGCCCGTCCGCGGCCGCCGCTTTTGTCTGCGCTGGTGGGCGCGACTGCAGCTCAGCGCCGCGCGCCTGTGTGCGCCGCCGGCGGGCTGGCCGGGACGCCGGCGGCGGTGCCGGCGTGCCGGCGGCGATTATTAGCTGGACCGGATGCGAGGCACGGCAGCGCCGGCGGAGAGCTGCTGGAAACGACGGCTCGGCGCTGCTCAGAGCGGCCCGGCGTGACACAGGACGGCACACAACGGCACGGTACGACACAGGACGGCACACAACGGCACGGCACGGTACGGCACGGCACCGAACGGCACGGTACGGTACCGAACAGTACGGCACGGTACGGCACGGCACGGCACGGCACGGCACGGCACGGCACCGAACGGTACAGCACGGCACGGTTACGACACCGCACAGAACGGCACGGCACTACAAGTATACACAGTGCACACAACGACAAGACCAGGGAACACACCACACGCCACAGAACGGCACATAGCGGCACGGCACGGCACGGCACGGCGCGGCGCAGTACAACGGCGGACGGCAGGGAGCTGTTGCTGGTTAATGACAATATCGCGGCGCTGTATGACGAACAATAAGGCATGGGCCACGATTCGCATTAATTAACTGATGAGCTATAGGATAACAATGCACAGAGTAGCCTGCACAAACACGGGCGCAGATTGTTTTGGGGTAACAGCGGAAAAGCAAATGCTATTTCAAAATTAAGGCCTCTGACCACATTTCATGTGTGCCAAATCACAAGAGCTGCACACCAAATAGTTATGAGGCCGGCATCGATCCCGCATAGTACTTACAAAATCCTACCCGAGCCCTAGAGTATAGACCCAGTGTTTCTGAGCTCAGACACATCTCATACGGCCTTGAGACACATCGGCCCTGTTTGGTATTTATTTGAATATAACACCGGCAAATAGCCATGTGAGCTTAAAATGTGTGCCGTGCATAGAAAGCGAAACCTTTTGTAATGCATTGATTTTTACTTCTGGTAGCATCAGCAGCAACAGAATAGGCTGCGAACCATCACACGTGATCAAGAAGGGGGTTGGTGAGAGGACAACATTCCATATTTCTGGAGCTAGGGACAAGGGAGCTTCACATGGATCGATATATGTAGGTACTTATACCTATGTGAGCGGTGAGCCAGCCCAGGAAATACCATCTCCAAGGAAATTCCATCTTCCCTTTGATACATTCGCTCTCATATAAGTACGGAAAGCCGCAAATCCCGCATTTCTGTTACGAGAAGAATTTCATAAGACATAATGTTACGGCTCACCAGGACTTACTTCCTTAGGAAATTCCTATAACCACGAAATCAGCCGCACGGCATCGAGGAATTTCATTTCAAGGCGTTACGGAAAAATTCTTATAATTGCGAATGCCAAAGACCATGCAATATAGGTGGTATTGCTTCTGGTATTATGTATGTTCTGTGCTGGAGAAATATTAACTTATTTAATATGGTATTAAAATGTCTGAGCATGGCCTTCTGCTTATTATTCTGAACATTTCTGATTTCCCTCTGGTATGTGCTATGTACGAGTCAAATTGAGCGGCTTGCGTTTTTCATGCGATTCTCGTCAGCACTTATCACAGCAGGAATAAATTACATGTAGGTAACTAGATCACTTTATCCCGCGCCGTGCTGGGTTGGGTGGCCTTTTTACGTCCCCGCCCCTCAGGTTTGCGTGCCGACGTTTTTGGTTCACCTGTTCATACATCCGTTCCGCACATGTGAAAACTTCAGACCCGGGTCTTTCAATGTCAGATCACCAGGTTCCGTCAAGTGACCTTACCTAAAAAAAAGTTCAAAGGCTCGCTTTAGCTACACCGACTGAACGATCACTTTGAAACTTTCAGCCATTGATAAAAGTAACAGTATGTATAAAATGTACCTCTCGGATTTTTAATATCGGTGACCTAAGGTCATGTCAATTTTGCGACCTCTCTATCATAAGTCAATGGGAGAAAATTGTAATGCGCCTCTTTTGGACAAATGTCGTTCTAAACCCTCTCAAACATCGGTTCATAGGTAAACATGACACACTTAATGTGTGAAACATTCTGGTGCCCCTGAGGTCATCTCAGGTAATGAAAGGTCACCAGCAGTTTTTTTTACTATAACTTTTGATAGAGACGTGCTAGAGCGGTGAAATTTGAAAACACGTCAGATGTGTTCAGCTCGACGATACGGATCGATTGATATGCAGCATGACCCTTTCGGGTCAGGTCATGACCTTGACCTGAGGTCAAATTTTCAAAATGATTTTTCAATGTCAATGTATAGTTCATTCGACACGTCTCGACGAGAGGAACACGATGCTGGCAAAATTAATATCGTGGCTGTCTTGAGTCAAAAGGTAGGTATTACCGAAAAATATTGTTCGTGAAATCGTTTTTTTAGCGTTTTTGCCCTCTTGAGGCTAAACCGTTGACCTGAGGTCAAATTTGAGAACAATATTCAGAAAGTTCTGTATAAGAGCTATCGAATGTGCTGTTCTGTGGCGTTGTAGCTCTAGCCGTTGGCAGTTTCCAAAATTATTGAAATGGACTAAATCTGACCTTTGATGATCTCTGGTGACTTGACCTTTGACCTGACCTTAAAAATGACCGGGGAGTTTCCGTCTTTATTTTTGACGCTCTTTCAAGTGCCGTGGAACAGCTGTGATATCTGAAATCCAGTCAGGAACTGACGGCGACTTGGTGGCAGTGGGTGACAACGGTCGCCAAGCAATCATGCTCCTTCCGGGGAGGTGTATCCCGCGCAAACTCCCCGGAGGGTCGTATAACATGATGGACTCGGGCAGGATACACTCAGGACGAGTATAAATGCTCGCGGCCGCCTCTGATCGAGCCTGTCTGAGCTCGAACGCCGCAGGGACTGTGGTTCTGCCTAACACACTCAGACATATAGCTCCAAAGACGAGTATAAATGCTCGCATCCGCATCTGATCCAGGCATGTCTGAGCCCGAACACCGCGGGGAATTTGATGCTGCCTAGCACAGCCAGACATAGCTGAAAGTGAGTGATCGATGAAGAGCAGACGGTTCATCGCCGGGAAGGGATTCCCGCTCGGTTGCTACGTAAAAATGAAGCTATTCCGTCCCTTTCATGTGTGGTTCAACGCGCATAATGAAAAGGCTGTATACCAAAATATTACCATAACCGTCAGGTATAGTGCTAAATCTACGAGGTGCATGTCGTACCTCCTGGTTGAGGAAGCAGTAGAGCAGCGAGATGTAGAAGCCCTGGAACGAGTCGAGCACGGCGAGTACGATGGTGTAGCAGCCGAACACGGCCACGGACCGGTCCAGCGGCGGCTCGAACATCTCCAGCGAGTGGGTGATGCCCAGCAGCGGGAGGAGGAACAGCGCCGCGCGCACCGCCTTCCTGCCGGCACGGCACCGGGAGGGCCGCAGATCATTTTCCGGACCGGCCGCGGGCCGGCAGAGCACCGGACGCCGAGCCGGGCAGCTTTTGTCGTCGCATAACTGAATAAAGTGGTTCAAGATTTTCAGCAGCAGCTTAGGAGCTGGGAGCTGGAGATTACCGACTGCTGTGATTATGTCACACACAGACCTCGGATAACGAATCTTACCTGACTTTCTGGACGTCATTTGAGCTGCTTTCGTGAAGTTTTGTGACAAGAACTCTTAATATGTTGAGAAGGAATCCCAGGTTGGCCTGAAAGAGTCCAAATGGCTTATGTCAAGCATCTAACGCAGCCGTTTTCACTTCTGTTAGTCATATGGGGAAGCATATCACTTTAACCCGCGCCCCAGTGGCGGTCTCGGCCAACTTCGCCCTAGTGAGGGGGGGCATATGTTACCACCCACCTCTAACTCAAAAACTAAGAGGGCTAGAAAGATGCGGTAAAAAGCAGTCGATAGCTCTCAATACGTACGTTTGAAAGTATTACGGTCATTTTTCACCTTAGAGCAATATTGGGGTCACCAGAGGTCATCAAAGGTCAAAATTTGCCAATTGTCATTATATTTTTCAGAAAACATGCCGCTACCTCAGGAACTATGGTAGCTAGAAAAACGCATGGAAAAGCAAACGATAGCTTTTGAACTCTTCTTTTGAAAAGGTCATTATCAATATTGTCCTCAGGTCAACGGTTTAGCCTCCAGAGGGCAAAAACTCCAAAAATAGCTGTTTTTACAAAAAGTGTTTTTCGACAATAACTTTCGACTACAAAAAGCCACGACATTTCTATTGCCAGAATCGTGTTCCCCTCACCGAGACGCGTCGAATGAACTATAATTTGACCTTGAAAGGTCAACTTAAAAATTTGACCTTAGGTCAAGGTCATGACCTGACCGGAAAAGGTCATGTTGCATATCAGTCGATGCGTCTCAACAAGACAAACACAATGAGACCATCCCCAGCGTTCTATCTCTTTCCAATCGCGAGTTATTGGCAAAAAAACTGTTTGTAGCCTCAAATGACCTCGGATGACCTTTCTAGAGGCTATCAGCAAAAATGACACCTTGGTCATCACGAGTGGACTAAATCATTGTGATTCTGAAATATTTGGACTGTTCCTATGCGTACACACGGATCTAGAGGCATTTTCATTTTTCTCCATTGACTTGTAATGGAAAGGTCATGCCACTGACCTGACCTTAGGTCACGGATATAAAAAATCCGAGATATACAAATTGTAGGCTCCCATAACAGCTTGCAATCCACCAAGTTTAAAACCTTTCTGACAAACACTGCAGGCTGGACATGATTGCAAACTTTTTTTAAGGCTTGGTCAGTTAACTTGACCTGGTGACCTGACCTGACATGACCTGGGGTCAAAAATTTCACACATTGTCCAAAATTGATGCACCAAAAGCTACCCCAAGCGGCGCGGCGCTACGCGCCGCGGTTTTTTATTCACACGCGAAAAACGCGACAGGGTGGTAACATATGCCCCCCCCCCACTGGGGCGAAGGTTAATCTTTATATGAAAATTTTGCTATAGCTCTTCTTTGATTTGAAAGAAGATAGAAGATGAATTTAAATTCATTTCATTTCAAGCTTAAATGATATCGCTCATATAATAAAAATGAAAGAAGTTCATCCTATCACGAGGGTGAATGTAGCACCAGCCAGCCTTTCTCGAGTGTTATCTTTACTATTGAGAATACATGAAGTTGTGTTATAGGCTGTCGTCTCTGTTGTAAAGGAGTAAAACGATAACTTTATTTGTCTTTGGTCTATTGAGTTGATTCAGTGGCGTAAATTTCAAACATGCAAGAAATATCGCCACGAGAACGTACGCTGAATACGTTTAGCTGAAACTAATGGAATTATGAAAAATGGAAAAATATCAAATGCATTGTACCTACATGTGCAATCTGGGCTGGATACTGATTAGACAGAAGTGTTTTCAGATTACAAGATGAGTCTTGACAGCGAGCGACAAGTCCGAAAACATGTTCCGATTGCGAAAATATTTTACTACCTGATAACTATTTGCTGCGCTACAAAATTACAGTTTGTATCACCTCATATAATCATTTTTCTCGCACTCGTGGAGCCCTCGACCGGACCGATCGTTGGGGCGATCTGTGCTCTAACCGGCGGCAAATCTCCGGCGATTCGCCGCAGGGCGTCACGGCGGTAATTTATAGCGGCGATTCGAGCGCGGCCAGCCAGCCGAGGGCGACGGAAACTCCCCGAGCATGCAGCTAGGGCCGCTCACCAGCCAATGGGCCATTGACAAGTTCGATCAATGGCAAACGGGCATGTAAATGTCAGCGCGAGAATATCAGACAAAGACACACATGTAAAGAGACTGAAGACGAGCAAATAAAGACAGGTAGAATATGCTCCAGATATAAGTGATGTATATGCACCGAAGTGTTTCATGACTCGTCATATAACTGAGGCAAAATGAAAAAGTCGTTCATCATCTTTTTAATCACAAAGCGACGGGTTGAGGGTGTATTATCCTTGCCATTTTAGGTCGAGCTGTATCACTTAGAAATGTGTTTACAAGATATTGATTTACACGATAAACGATTCATTGATTGGAAAAAGAACTTAGACTTCATGGAATGTTACTTACCGCTATTACCATAAACCGAGGTCCTTGGATGATCCAATAAAGCCGGCTCACATGTTTTCCCCACCAACACCTGATGATACAAACGTGAGGTCACGAAAAAGGCCCGTGGAAACGTATTTTACTAAAGCTATTGCAGGAATAAATACAAATAATATAGGCAGTAAAAGGACAATTGCAACTTTCGCTAGCCGCTGACCAGTCTATAACAAGATTAATTAAAATAATTAAAATTAGGAGTGAAATGCAGAGGGAGAGGGAAAGGGAGGAGATAAGATGAAGGAGAGAGGTGAGGGCATCAAAATGGCAACGGATCGGCTTTGTGCATTCTTGTAGATTGTCGAAGGAGTGAAATCGAAAAATATATGTAATGAAACGTAACGTCAGGAGAAACAGTTATGAACGTCTGCACTATTTCTAATGTCACTATTGAGCAAGACGGAGATAAGCAAAGCAAATGAACAGAAGTGAACAAAGAATGAACAGATTATCAGGAGTATGAAAAATAACCTCTTGCTCATATCTGAAGGAATTAAAAAATTAAAGACCAATATATATTCGGGCGTGGCCCTTCCTCAGTGGTACAGTGTTACAATGGAACTTTCTTGTTCCATTGTAACACTGTACCACTGAGGAAGGGCCACGCCCGAATATATATTGGTCTTTAATTTTTTAATTCCTTCAGATATGAGCAAGAGGTTATTTTCATACTCCTGATAATCTTATCAACAATGCTCAATTCAACGTTTCAATACCTGAAAGAATGAACAGAAGTAATCACGAGGGGATTTGAGAACTTCTCAACTAATCTTAAAAAATATATCAGCACTAGCACTTACTGCGTCTCTGTGTAGAGGTACGCCATGAAGATTGCCCAGACAGACGTCAGCAAAATGGACAGGCCCCAGCCGATCAGGCTGAATACTCTGTTGGCGGAGCACACAAAATGGTCGAGGTTAGCAACAAATGTGGATGCTTGTAGCGAGGCACTTCCCTAGTTATCCGGTCACCTTAGAATTGACAGAGGATGTGATAGATGCTCGACAAAAGTGATCTTCAATCTGATTTTCAAATATTTGTGATGTTTTTAATATCACCAAAAATCGAAGACAGTATTTACTGACAAGACAAATTCACCTTCTTCCTTGCTTAGACTTCTTCTTCCTTTTGTTGTAACACTCGAGCCTATTTACGCCTACATATGACTTAATGTAGGTGTATACATTGAACATTTATGCATAGACAGTGCACGCATTGACATGCAAAGTGATTTCAAAATTGCATACTTTGTAACTTTTCTTTAAATTTCGAATTAAAAATAGTGGTTAGCTCAAGCGATGGATAATGGGTTTCAAAAAGAAGCAATCTCATAACTTTCTAGATAAGGAAGGCAGCAGCTGGGGTAATTTCGTACATACCCGAAAAGGTGGGTGCTAAAAACCTTAGTCCAAACCAATAACGGGATTAATTGATCACTCCCTAACCTAACGATATTCTGCATTCATCAATGCACAACAAAGCCATCAAACAACAGAAGCCGAAATTGCACCGTTTTGACGAAGCGTAATGTAATTATGTGGCGGTTCCAGCCAGACCCCAGAAACAAAAGGCATTCACATTACCGAGATGGGCTCGAGCCGAGCCGCCGCTATATAATCTGTTTATCACGCTTCGATGGTCGATTGTTGACTGAAACCGGAAACAGCGTCGGCGCTCCGGAGAGATTACTGCCGCTCTGTCTCTCACTACTTCCTCTACTTCCTCTCTCTCTCTCTCTCCCTCTCCCTCTCCGTCTCCTGCATCTGCTGGAGCGCGTCTCGTTGATCGACCGGCAGGCTCGCCCACCGGGTGCAGACCGGCAGGCTCGCCCACCGGGTGCAGACCGGCAGGCTCGCCCACCGGGTGCAGACCGGCAGGCTCGCCCACCGGGTGCAGACCGGCAGGCTCGCCCACCGGGTGCAGACCGGGCAGGAGTCGCCGATGCGCCGCCGCGCCTTTATTGTGGCCGATCGGCCGTCCCAGTGATGTGGCTCTCGAGCAGAGCTGCCGCCCTGGGTCAGCCCGGCTTAGGGGCCGCTTCTGCTCAGTCAGCGCATCTGGCCGCCTCCTCAGCGTCCCAGCCATCCCCCGGAATTATGCACATCCGGCCGCGACACCGACCAACGGCACGCGGGCGACGAGCGATCGGACGGTGTGTCTGATGAGCGGATCATCAGGAGACTTTTCCGTGGTAATGTCCCTCTTAGTTGTGTCTCCGAAAATCAAACGGATTTTATACACAGAGCTGAACCATAATGAGAGCAGGATTACTTGACATCAAGCTATAAGTTGACATGATAGGATGGTGATAGCACCGAAAGCCAGCGTCAGCCATCGTTCTGCAAATGCTAAACAAGACATATTGATGACGGAAAGGACTGAAATATCATGTTTGAAAAGGGTCCTCAGCTTAGTGTTTCTTGATGAGTTTTTGACGTTTAGCTTTTGAATAACTCGGCACTCGGCAGTACTTATAAGCAGCTTCCATCCCCGCCAGCCTTATGTGAGTTATATACACGACGTGATTGAATGGCAGCGCATATGTTACATAACATTGTGAATGACATCGAATCCGACCGTTACTTTGTAATTCAGTATTGACACAATGAAAGCATGTCTGTAATAATACTCTACCTATCCATTCCATGATTGCTGCGCAGCTTTATATCAAGACGCCACCGTGACCTAAAATACCAACAAAACAACTCAGCCGGAGTGACAGCGCACATCACAGAATACCAATGCATGAGGCGATGGCCGCCGGCCGGGAAAAACAACTCATTCGGACAAATCCCGGGAATATATCACGGCTAACGGCCGGCAGCGCCCACACCTGAGCTCCCTGCTCGGTGCGTGTCCGGCGCCTCAGCCCGCGGCCTCGGCCTCCGCGCCGCTGCTGGCCGAGCCGCCGCGCTGTTTGCCAGAGCGTGCTCGGAGGCCCCGCACCACCGCGCACCACACGCCACCAGCGCGGCGTACCAGCGAGCACCAGCCAGTTGCCAGTCGGCCGCGGTCGTGGCGCGCTGCCAGATTCCGCTGTTGATTCCACCGGTCGGCGCGGCGCCGCCCGATGCCGAACACACACTCACAGACCCCCTACCTCGGTAGACGGGCGGGCGGGGGGGGGGGGGGTTGCTCCGCACTCAGCAGTCGACAGAGTCCGACAAATGGGCGAGCGAGGTGCTCCCAGCGGGGAAGGTGACTCAGATATTGCACCGAGACATGGTTAATTACGTGGGCGGTTCTCGATAACACATTTCCCGTTAAAATGATTTTTTTTCGTTGAATTGCCACCCAAATATTTTTCTTTTCTTTTGTAGAGAGTATGATGCTTATCAATTGCAGCAGCTGTTCAAAATAAATTGTGTAAATGCATTAAAATCTTTATACCACATAACAATCGCCGTGCTTGTAACAATTATTTAAAAAATCTGACAGAGCGTTGAAGTAGGCACAGCCGACCAAGTCGACCTCGACCTCTCTTGCCTTTTTCAGCAAGTGAAAATGGTTACCGGTCTTAATGATGAAGTTCAGTCAAGTTGTGCCATTGGGCGCAGGCGCTGTCACTCACACAAAGTTGGGTTTCTCGTTGAACACGTCCCTGGTGAGAGTCGAGTGCAGGTAGTAGCCCTCGAGGAACATCCAGAGAAAGGTGGCTGACCGCGCCCACTCCTGCAGCACGTAAAACAGCTCGCACAGCCCCGGCTGTCAACGAAAACACACCAATGTCAATGGAATAAGCATTCGAACGGTGGGAATACCCGAGGGGTTGCGAGAATTCGCTAAAAACGGACAGGTTGCAATAAATTTTAAGGGCCTGTTGCAAGAGGAGCCACGCCAGGCTGCCCTGATGGCTGCAGCAAAACTACACGGACAGGGTTTAAACACAAAAAATGAAATTGCTTGGGTACCTACAGTAACAATTGACATATGTAGCACTAGATTTCTATTTACGATTCGATTTCGAGTTTTGGCATTTATCTGACAGAGATGACACAGAACTGAATGTAGTGCAATCGGAAGCTGCTTCATCGAAATATATTATCCTATTCCTGCCAGACATCTCAGCACTCTCTGGTTATGAGTTTTACGATCCAGCATACCAGAGATGTCTGGGTATACGGCCAAATAAAACCCAAAAGTCGTTAAAAACGATTGTTATTTAGCAGCTAGATAGTATAAAGAGTGGGCGGTCAACTCTGTTTTTAGTTGACGCATTTGTGCAATCCAAAAAAGCTTGCGTGAGTGGCATGGGATTTATGTTGTGAAGGAAATAGGTCATTCAATTAACCTATTGATGATACCTTAGCCCGCGCACCGACGGGGGGACGGATATCCGCCCCCCTGAGGTTTTTCGTAGATAGCGGGAAAACCGCGGCGCTATGCGCCGCGGAATTTCGTAGAACTATTCTCTCTTCAATTTTACACATGGTGTGCAAGTTTGAACCTTCTAACTTTTAAGGTCAGGTCACCAGGTCACTTTGAATGACCCAACCTCAAGTCACTTTTTTGGCAACTTTGTCATTGTGCCAGAGCTACAATAGATGTCGGAGGCCTTTGAAAGTCGCAGGATGTTATAAGGTCATTAGTAGCTACAATGTGTATATCTCGGAATTTTGATATCGATGACCTAAGGTCAGGTCAATTTCTCGACCTCCCCAATATAAGTCAATGGGGAAAAATCAACTCCCTGTTTTTACCACTAAAACGGGTCGGAATGGCCCCATAAACCATACATGACTTCATATACGATCAACCTTCACTACCTTGAGGTCTGTTTTGCTGTTGGGCAGCTGTAAGGTCATGTGACATCATCAAAGGTCACCAGCGGTTTTTTGCCAATAACTCCGTACAGGAACAAAATACATCCGCGCGGATGGTCTCATTGTGTCCAGCTCGTCAAGGCGCATCGAATGATATACATGATGACCTCAAGGTCACGTGACCTGAGGTCAACCTTTGACCTTGACCTTTCGAGGTCAACATATATATCATTCGATGCGGATTGACGAGAGGATCACGATGACGCCCTTAGTTTGTCCCTATCTTGACTAGTTCGCAAGTTATTTGAGAAAAACTCTCTCCATATCTAGCGCCGCCATTTTGACTTTTTTACCCCTGTGACGTCATCGTTGACCTGACCTGAAAATGACCTTTGTAAAAATTGTAGACCTTGTCCGTGCGTATCCCATGCCGTTTACCGCTTGTCGCTATCTTGCTTCGTTCTCGAGATCTCAGGGGGGGGGGGGCGGTCATCCGCCCCCCCCCCCACCCCCCGTCGGTTCGAAGTTGGCGCAGACCCCCGTCGTTGCGCGGGTTAAATGTAAGCTATATGAGTGCTGAAGTTGCTGGAGCCGGAGGGAGTCGATTGTTTAGTTATGTTTATGGTTAAAGCATGTGCCAACGGGTGTTGGTGAGCAGTTGTGGCTGTTTAGCAGAACACCAGTCACCCATATTGAGCCATAACAACATCAGAGCAGGCCTCTTCGATGGACATGATAGGAATTCCAAGCTTCTGCGACAACCAGCTTACTAGAGATTATCCTATTTGCTGCTTGATTTCAAGTTGAATGACATCCAGGAATTGGAAACTGATACGACCGTCTCAGTGTGGATAAGGCCCTGTAACAAGTGTCTCTATCTTCTTCCAGTCCAAATGCCCCGAATTGGCCGGACATATTCTAAAAGCCCAAATTTTGTGACTTTTGCGTGTGCCTGAGGCGACTACATCAGTGTTGGACATTCTGTAAAGGAAAATGAGAAGGGGCTGTAAATGATCAAGTTCTGGTCACACCGAGGGGAGACTGTGACTGACCAAGCTCTCCATTAACAAGCTGCGGACTCTCCGGGACTAAATTACTTCTAATACCACCCCATCCTCTCGGCTATAGACTGGCCGTGTTGTCGGTCGTTCTACTGACCGTGCTGTCGTGCTACTGACCGTGCTGTAGCGGATCCCCGTTCTACTGACCGTGTTGTAGTAGGTCGCTCGTTCCACTGACTGTGTTTTAGTAGATCGCTCGATCTACTGTGTTGCAGTAGGTCGTTCGTTCTACTGACCGTGCTGTAGAGGGTCCCCCGTTCTACTGACCGTGCTGTAGCGGGTCGCCCGTTCTACTAACCGTGTTGTCGATGCCTCGCTCGTTGCCGTCGTTGCTGTCGCCGGCTCGGATGATGTACTGGTCGATGTACAGCGTCAGCCTCAGCACCACCAGTACCAGGATGGCCGTGAAGAGGTGGATGTGGATCCGCGTCCGGCTGTTCCGCAGACGACTGACGGCCAGACGGACAGGTGACGTCACTCAGGGAACGTGACGTCATGGAAACGTACGGCCGGCGGATGACGTCGTAATAGTAAAGATGTCATTCAGGCGAGCAAAACATAAATCAGGAGCATAAAAACAAAATCAAAATCAGAGCAAAACATAAATGAGGGCAATATACTATGCTGGAGGAGTGGTATTGACTATTGGACCATAATGAGGTGCCCTTCGAACAATAAACAGCAGCATCGAGGTCATTTGACACTGGTCAGTTCACTTGAAGTGACACAAAACACTGATACCGACGTCCGACAGTTGACACATTGACGATTGATGAACCATCAAGCCTACAGGTGCCAGTGATATCAAGAGACACACCAGTGATGAGTGAAGTCACGGCAGTTGATTTCAAATATATGACACTTTGAAGCACACAGGTGGCAACTATCACGTTAAACCACGTGACGTTTCGGATGGCACCAACCATGTAACCACCACACCGCTAGGCATCACGTGACGTTGATTGGGTCACGCTCGGCGGAAGACTTCGCGTGTCTCACAGCTGGCGTGATTGCGATCAGATAACAGTTGAGCATCGCAAACACGCTGCTAAAAAGGGCCTAACAACGGGAATCATAAAGAATAGTACGCGGAATGGTAAGCTGTAAAACGTTTCCCGTAAAATTCCCGTAAAAAAAGAAGCCGAAGGTTTGTGTTTAAAAGTCAAAACAATATTCGTTGGACTTGTTTTTCTACTGGAAAACAAACCTGAGTTCTCCGACAATTTTACAAAACCTGTCTGATATCAGCATACAATAGATGGAATAGGGAAGGAAGAAGTTTGTTATTTATACCATGATGAAACAGGCTATGTAATTATGTCGTCGGTCTTTGTTTAATCATCCACACTGCGTCATATCCACACACCTACCCGGCTCTGGTGTGGTCGATTCGCGGCCATTCCTGAAGTGGGACAAACATCGCTTCCTACAAATATAGCTAATGAGGAAAGGATAAAAACCGTACCTATGACCTTGCAGCATAAATGCAAAGATAGCAGAAATACGAACGCCAGCGTAGGCTGCTGTTTTGCGGTATGCACATGTGATGCAAACTCAGGATTGGTGAACAACACTTTAGGGCAAAGAGAGCAACATCTTGAAACAAAATTTTCCACATTATTGACAAGTTTCTGGCGCGAGGAAGTGTTAACAATAGGTTCACGCAATTCAAGGAACACAGCGGCGGTCATAAACCCAATCAAAGGCTCACGGCGAACACCACTCGTGTGAGAGATGCGCTACTCAGACTGTCAATGGTCAGCGAAATCGGGTGGCTCTGGCGACGTTTTGGAGGGTTCTGCAATATCAGGATGAGCAGAGATCCGGAAACGCTTAACCCTCGCCCATGTAGGGGGGGTTGGTGCAACCCCCCCTGAGGTTTTTCGGAAATAGTGCAAAAACGGCGGCGCGCAGCGCCGCCAAATTTTGGGTACCTTATGGGGCAAACCTTGCGCATCTTTTGATAAAAAAAAATTTGACCGGGTCATGTCAGGTCACGGAGTTTTGACGTCACAAAGGGAACAGCCTCCGGCCGGATTTTCACAAACTGAGTGCCAACGCCCGAGGTTTCCTGCCGGTGGTACGGACATCGGTTGATGGATCGTGATGAAACTTCCCATGCATGTTGGGGCAAGTATTGGCTATCATATGGTATAAGAAACTTGACCGGGTCAGGTCAGGTCACGGAGCTATGACGTCACAAGAGGAACAGCGTCCGGTACTATTTTTGAAAAGCGCCCGAACCACTATTTTGCTAATTCTTGTCACCTCAATGGGAATATGCAGCAATATTAGCTTCTATAGGGAGCAAATGGACCTTCCAAATCCAAAAATACAATCAGATTTCAAAAATTTAAATTTTGATTTTTCGAATTTCTGCCGCCGATTGTGACCTTGCCGACTTCCGGCGCTCCCAAAGCGCCATTTTTAGAGCTAGGGAAACGAAATACATACCAAACGATAGAGAATTGATCAAGGAACACGATAGTGAAGGTTTCAAGTCGATATCTCCCACCGTTTTGCCGCAATCGCCGCGGAAAGTTGAAAAAGTCTATTTTTCCGATAATTTGACCTTTGACCGGTCAAAAGTAGGTCAAATGTTGACCTAGGACCAAAAAATATACCACCAATCGCGAGATCTCGGCGAGAGCAATCCGTTGGTCTTTTCCGCTAAGCTCTACGACGCTCCGTTTTCAAACGCCAAGGGGGGGTCGCACCAACCCCCCCCCCCCCTGCATGGGCGAAGGTGGCAGATCGCCGTTTACGGGCGAGGGTTAAGATCCAATGGTTTCAGCGAGACGGTGCCACGCCAATGCCGCTAAAGAAAACCCGGGAGGGGCAGTGGGAGCGCTTCGGACAGCGCGTGATCTCGAGGTTCAAGACACGCCCGTGGTCGGCGAATTCTCCGAACGTAACCCCACCGGACTTTTTCCTATAGGACCACCTCAAGTCCCAGGTGTACCGAAACCACCCAAAAACTTCCGAAGATCATAAGGATGCAGTGGAGTCAGCGGTGTGTCGTCTGCAGCTTTCGTGGGTCGTGCTGCAGCACGACCCACGCTTTGAGAAGCCCGGTACCTACATATTTGCCTGGACTTGATTCTAGGCGCCGCTCACTAATACGATATAATGACTTTATTTTGCTACAAACGCATATCACGTACATACAATAATGCACATACATCTTCAGTGGCCCAAAGGCGGTCGTGCACCTTTTGTAGACATTGGTGCATTTCAAACCTGACTTACCTACTACAAATATCAGTTCGGTAAGCGACATTCTCCTCTATTTCTCCCCATCCTCCAAAAGTACAGCAATTGAAATCCACTTCGAAAAGACGAACGTGACGCGGTTGAGATATATGTCTCCAGTTTGCAAAACAGTTCCGTCGAGAAAATGAAGCCGTCAATAACGATTCTCCGATGTCGTTATTTTCTGAAATGTTTTGACAGACGACAAACGTGCTGAGCAGACAAAATCGCACGCCGCCTCACCAACGAGCTCGCTTCGCTTCAGCGGGTCACAGCGTTCGCTTATCGAGACCGTTCGTTCCAACCCTTTTGTGGCAGGATTGAGGACCCGTTCGATGTTCAGCGTCACTTTAAATTGCGAGTGATATGCTCGATTCCATTACCGATTATTTTTGTTTCAAAATTGAATAGATTATAAATTTACTTTAAATATATTGTGAAAACTGATGTTTCGCTGCTTATCTGAACATCTGTTGTTGAACTGCAAAGAAAGCTCCGATGAAGGTATTTGCAAGACCCCTATGACCAGTATAATCACTTACCGAAAATAGCAGAAGAGGAAAAGACAGATGATAATGCAGCAGAAAGACACGCTTAGGCCGACCATCTCCAGAATTCGGCCCACCCGAGCGATAGTGAGCTTCTTCTGCAAATGAAAGTAATTAGGGTTAATACATGCTATAAACATGACACAAAATCTGATTAAAATCAAATTCCAGTTGACAACTCATAACGAGTTCTCAATCTCCTATAGCCCTGCGTGAATGACACCCGCATTTTCAATTCAGCCGAGCTGAGTAATGGGAAACCTATAGACGTTCCATAATCAGCGGGAGATTAATGACCACGGGATCCGGCTCAGATTGTCAGTGGCGCAGACGGCTGTCAGTGCCCTGAAGACTCCGCTGCACGTCTGTGCCGCGCGCCCGGACGGCAGGACTCCATTGTGACCCGCCGTCCGCCGAACAGAAGCCTCTGTCTCTGGCTGAGAGGCTGCGATAGCACGTCAGATAGAGCACAATGGAGCCGACCCCACTGAAAGGCCCACCTCGTCCCGCAGCTCGATGTCAAGTTCCGCTGAAGCCTATGAAAGTCGGCCGCTGCAGCTACCGACCTGTTCGGTGGATCCGAGTTTTATCAGCGAACAAGTCTTTTCACCAGGCGTCTAGAAATACTTCAGTCTGAGATAAATTCATGCATTTGTTAGGCCTAGACCTTTCAGGATGTTTCGTCACTCTTATTACCTGTCCCAATGCATGACACAAGGCCTTTTTCTTATGAAATATGTTCTCGTTATTCTCGTAATCAGCATCACACATGGGCTGTTGATCACATATACGCACCGCTGCACGGTAACCTCTGCAGTTTACACCTTTTGTCTATAGGAATGACAGCATCCCTCAATCCTCCATCCATCATGCCCCAAAATGAAGCGACAGAAGTGGTCACGGCGGCTCGGTTCCGCGGCGACCCTGTGCTGTAGGGAAGGCGAGGGTGTGCAGGACCAGGCAGCGGCGCCGCCGACAATGATTAGCCTCGTCTCGTGTTTTTCCTCGCCGCCGGGTAGCGGCAGGAGCTGTTTTCCTATTGGACGCCCGAAAATACGTCCTGCGGACCGTCGCCCACCGCGGCGGCCCCCACTAACGATTTTATTAGTCGGCGACGCGTGATGCATCCTGATAAATATTTAGTTAAAATCCAGCTTAGACAGTTTCACACTTATAGGCGTAGATATAAAACGATCGAACACCGAGAAGAAAGTTATGATATTTAGCATTGCTAATGACCTTATGAAAAGACTTATGAATTTATCAATCAGTTTAACCCTATTAGTGGCAGGGGGGGTTGTTTTTATCCACCCCTCAGGTTTTTCGGGAATATCTCCGAAACCGCTGAAGCTACGATGCTGAAATTTTCTGACTTTTCCTAAAACTAAATTGGGCACATTCCCTGAAAATTTCAAGTTCATAACTTTACCAGGGGCGGCTCCAGAGCACTGGGAATTGGGGTCCTATTCGTGAAGCGAGTCATTTGGGCGAAGATCACGATGCTGCACCAGTTTTACGAACAGTGAATGAAAGGTATCATGTGATAACATATACAAAGTTATTGTGCATCCTCTTTTGACATGTTTTTGCTATAATAGGCGGATCCAGGCGTCCAAAAAGGGGGGTTATTTTTTACCTCCCAACATAGGTGCCCTGACACCGCCTATGCATGACCAATACAATTTTAGTAGTTCTCTCATAAGAAAATTGTAACATAACAAGACCATTGCCACCCTTTTTAGAAACAGTACCAACAAAAACCTTATTTACTATACTTTTTGTGTACCCCCAATCTCAATGATCTGTATCCGCCTATGATTTTTGAAAATGCATATTTTTAGGATCCATGTGAATTCCTGGTTCATTCTCTATCGATCGGCAAAAGTTGCGTTAAGATTGGTTCAGAAACCTGGCCGTGATAAACAGTCTAAAATGTATCTGCAATTTGCCCGTTTTTACCCCCCTCTACCCCCCTATTGACATTTTTTAATTTTTTTTTTAGAAATGTAGATCTCGTTGAGTCAAATCGAATGCCGTTTGAATTTTGGAAATCGGCCGGTTAGATCTCGAGATATCAAGGGAGGTCGTAAACAGCCCCCCCCCCTGCCACTAATATGGGGTAGCCAGGAGCCTGCCACTAATACAAATAGGGTTAACCCTCGCCCGTAAACGGTGTTTTGCCACCTTCGCCCATGCAGGGGGCGAAGGTGGCAGTTGGTGCGACCCCCCCCCCCCCTGGCGTTTGAACACGGAGCGTCGTAGAGCTTAGCGGAAAAGACCAACGGATTGCTCTCAACGAGATCTCGCGATTGATGGTATATTTTTTGGTCCTAGGTCAACATTTAACCTACTTATGACCGGTCAAAGGTCAAATTTTCGGAAAACCTAACTTTTTCATATTTCTGCGCCGATTGCGGCAAAACGGTAAGAGATATCGACTTGAAACCTTCACTATCGTGATCCTCGATCAATCCTCTATCGTTTGGTGTGTATTTCGATGTCATAACTCTAAAAATGATGCGTTGGGAGCATCGGAAGTCTGCAAGGTCATTTGTGCATTGGGTCACGTTAGGCGTGTGACGTCACTGACCTGACCCTGACCCAAAATGAGCTACAAGAAACAACCGACGATGCCTGAAATGGATAGCAAATTCGATTCAGGGCACCGAAGTACCCCGAAAAGGCATACAAGTGGCAAGAAGTCATTACAGGTCAACCGAGGTCACTGACCTTACCTTGACCTTTAGTAACCTTCAAAATGTGAACGGACATTGTGCCATTTAAATGTGCCAATGTCAAATCAGCTAGTTGTGATTCTAAAACAATCCATCAGTGTGTCAGGTCAGTCGGCATTTATACCAATGTGAAGCAATCTCCAATTTAGCGTAAATCTGGCCGGAGGTTGTTCCCCTTATGACGTCATAATTCCGTGACCTGACATGACCTTGACAAAAACAAAAGTTGCGCAAAGGATGCCCCAGGGCCCAGAGGGTACTGAAAATTTGAGCAGGCTATCTGAAACGGTTCGGCGTGTAGCTAAGAAAAACCTCAGGGTTGCACCCCCCCCCCCTTCATGGGCGAGGGCTAAGACTATGATAATTGCTCTTACAGCAAAACGTCTACAAGTACATACATAGCTCGCCATCTTTGTTACAGGGCTACTGATGGAACGAATTGTCTACGTGTGCACTGATGGAACTTTGTATGTTGTTTACAACATATATAAAGCGAACTACGAAATGAAAGCGAAGTGAAAATGAATGTTTCTAGAAAAGTAATCATAAAGGCGAGGATAATGTAGCACACATCTTTCTGCCTGTCATGCTTATTGGTTTACAAATGAAGATTGAATTAGTACCATACATCTTAATCGCATTGTTGGACAAGTTCATCATTAACCCGCGCCCCACTGGGGTCTGTGTATAACACGCCCTACTGGGGGGGGGGGGGGGCTATTCATAGCCCCCCCTCCTAACTCCGAAACTACTGGGCCGATCGTCAAAATTCAAACGGCGTCTGATAGCCCCGGAAAAACTGTCGAGCGAAACCTAATTTCATTGACCTCGAGGTCACCGATGACGTCACAGGTCAGGTCAAAGTAAAAATTATTAGCACTTTGGCTTGTTCACATTTTGGGCTCTGGCCGCCGTCTTACAAGTCAGATCAGGCTCATTTTTGGTTTCCACACTCGTGAACAGATGCTCTAGATACCTTGGGGGTACCAAACTTGTACTTTGATTTTCAGGTCAGGGTCAGGTCATCACAGGTCACGAAAATATTATATCATGCGTCGGTCACGTGACACATGTTTTATGGTCCATTTAGGCCATAGATTTCGAATTTGATGTCGTCTATGTCATTCGAGGTCATTTTGAGTCGAATTTAGCTTAGGTCAGGTCACTTTCAGGTCAAAAAAGGTCAAATTTTGAAGTTGAAATTTTTCAACAAAAAAGGTGTCTATTGGATGCAGTTTGAGCTCAGGAACACGATGGTGCCATTTATATTGGTGTACAATGCCAAATACGTACTGAAAAATTGATTTGAAAAATTAATAATTGTGAATTTTTTGCAATAATGCGTATAACTTGGCCATTTTTGAAGATATTTAGCTAAAACTTGCTAGAGTCATTCATAATCATGCGTTCTGTCACATATATTCCGGTTTTTTCGAAAAGTCAAAAACTTTTTGAAAAAAATATAAAAATATAAATTTTGAATATTATTATATAAAATTTTCGTAATTTTCAAAATTTTGAAAATCCGAGATAGCAGTTTGATAGCGCGGTCAATTCTGAGTTCTTTCATGCAAAGAAATTGGATCTAGCTTAAAAACTGAGCTCTTGGGAGCGATTGCCGTGGTTCAATGTTTTGCGTCGAAATCGGACGAACATGATGTCACTCTGACGTCATTTTCGGCCGACCTATGGTAGCTACGAAGTTCAAATTTTGACACAAGGTGTCAAATTGATGCAGCCGAAGGTACTGAAAGTTTGGCGTCGATCCGTCAAGCGGTTTGGAAGTTATTGCAGAAAAACGGGAGGGGGGGCTATAAATAGCCCCCCCCCCCCCAGTGGGGCGCGGGTTAATTTCTTCGAGATTGTGAACTATGGCCATTTTGACCATTAACCCTAGCGAAGCGCAGAAACTTGCAAACTTAGCAGGCCGTGTTTCTCCCATCACCAGCTGCCGGTGCCCGCGATTCCGGTTATACCGTCCAGTCGCTCGGTGCTCAGTTTGCCGGCCGGAACAGCGCGGGGGGAGGAAGGGTAGGGAGGGGGGCCTGCGGGGACAGAAGCGCCGCCGTGTCAGCCCCAGCCGCGCCGGACGCTCCTGGGACGGGTCGCCGCTGACAGGGTCGTTACCGGACCTGACGAGCCCACAGTGTTCACCTGCGCACCCGCCCACCAGCCTGTCCTGTCCCTGGTCTGACCCCTCCCCTCGCCCAGGCCAAGGTTCGTACCGACTCGCGGAGACCATGGCAACTGCGGTCGGTGCTCCCCAAATAAAGCTATCGTCCCCAGATGGGGACGTCGGCCTCAGCCTTCCACCCTTCCCCGCCACCTTCCGGAAGCAATCCATTGCTCCCTTCGGCCTCAGGTCGGCATTGGGCAATATCGGCGGACCCTCTCTTCTCGCTCGAGTTGATGGTACAGCCAGCTGTCGAATGACAGTCAGCTCGTTCCCGACACGACTCTAACACCACCCGAGAGGTTTGGACTGACCCCGGCAGCCTGTCCCAAGAGTAGGTACAGAGTCCCATCTGGCTCGATGAACTGGAAACGTCCACGGATTGAACAGGGTACGGCTCCAGTCTGATCCACTGGCCGTTCTCTCTGTGAACAGCCGCGCGCTGCATTGTGTTCCGGTGCTGCCGGTGGCGTGTTCTCGATTGGCGTGTCACCGCCGGGCCCCAGCCAATCACAGGCGAGCTAACGAGCCAGTCGCACCAGGGTGTTAATGACCCTCCCACGGTCACGCGGCACGCTCCTGTCTGTTGGCTCCTTCTCTTGGGAGGTCCCGGCAACAATGCTGACGGTCATTTAACTTTGGAGGAATGTGCGAGCTGCCGGGAAATTAAGGACGATGAATGTTATTTATAGCTGGAAAATGGCTGCAGTTCACGGATTATAGCCTGTTGAAAGCCGCGTAGTAAGTGTCCTATAAGAATGTTAAATAAGGGCTGCCATGCTCCGTATTTTTGCATTTACTTTTCATGCTAATTGAGTATCACTTACTAAATACAAATATATGATTGTCCATAGCCTTGTGCTTGTTCACAACATAATCAGCGAATCATTAAGGTGATTTTTCAGTTTAAATTTGCATCGCAAGCTGCACTGAAAACATGAAATCCAATTTTAAAATGCTAACAAGTTTACCATCTAGCTATAGGAGAAAGGAACAGAAATAAGCCCAGAAATAAGTGAAGAATTAAATAACTGAGAAGAAAGATGAGCACTGCTCCCTCTCGGGAGAGCCTCTCATATCGATACCGATCAATCCTCATGCCCTGCGTATCGGCGTGCCTGGCGGACGGCGTGCCAGATACCCGTGCAGTTCGGCTAATGGCACCTAACCTCCGTTTACTCCACAAATATGGTGATGCTGCATATCCTTCATACAAATTACTTCAATTCTGTGAAGACTTGAATTGAAGTGGGGGACAGACTTGCTATCTGCGAGTGTGTTGTGAGTTGTGTAGTGTCGTCATTCAATCATTTTATCATTTACAATCTTCAAGCTATAATGATTTATAAAAAGGATTTTTGCTTATGTCACATAATAAGTCCATATTATTAGATGTTTAAATATTTCAAGTAGTGTCAGTGTCCAACAAGGATAGAAATAGACATGTCTAAAATCATAAAAAGGATAATAATAACAGTTACACCCTCACTCTCTTGGGCTGGCACACGTTCTTTTCTTTAAAAAAAAATCCCAGACAGGTTTCTTATTGGCGCGTGGAGGCCAACGACGCACTCTCTGGGGCCTGATCCGAGAACGATGACAGCGGTGCCGAGTCAGCGCTGGACTGCTTCCGGGCCGGCGCGGCGGCCGCTTTCAGCCGACTCCGGCCCGGGCTGGGCCCAGACGGTGATACATCCTCGCCGGAGTCACCGCAGTCAGCCTCCCCCCCCCCCCCACGTACCCCTCCAGACGGCCCAGCAAGACCGTCGAACCCTGTATATTTTTTGGACCTCTTTCCAACGGGCATATATTTCCGTCGCATATATTTCCCAATTACAGCAGAGAGCACCTGCTCCTCCTCCTCGTCCTTGGACTTTACTTTATTGAAGGTGGAAGGGTCCCTTTAACCCTCGCCCGTATAGGGATGGGGGTTGAGCGGACCCCTCCCCTCGGTCTTTCACAAATAACTCGCAGTAATAAGCTGCCGATTGTGACGACACTTTCAGTACCCTCGCGTAAATCAATTTTACACCTACCCTGAAAATTTCATGACCCTGACCCAAATGACCTTTGGCTCGCAGAGTAAGAATTTCGTGAAAAAATTGTTCCAAAGCGGGAACAGGGAAATGATTATTCGCTCCTTCATCGGTTACAAATTGCTATTCATTTGGTTTCGTTTCGCTTCGGCCGCCTGCGCGACGGTAGTTTGCCGGCGCGGTAGGCTGTGCCGCAACGCTCAGATGTTTTGCGGGTCAGCCTATACGTCCAGGTGATCGCCGTATTCGTGCCGCCGCACTGCGCTGGAGGGCTGGAGGCGAAGCGCCCGTGTCTTGGGCGAATCAGTGCGGCGCCCAGCATTGGAAACACGCACGTGGAAAATCACAGGCTGGGAAACTAAGGGAGTAGAGGGCTACCGAAGGCTTATCCAGACCTTCGACTCGGATCAATGAACTTAGCCCGCGCCCCACCGGGGTCTCCGTGTAACGCGCCCTACTGGGGGGGGGGGCTATACACAGCCCCCTACAAACTCAAAAAACTTCTGGGCCGATTGTCAAAACTCAAACGGCGTCTGTTGGCCCTGGTAAAAATGTCGAACGGAACCTTATTTCATTGGCTTTGAAGTCACCGATGACGTCACAAGCCAGGTCTAAGTAAAAATTATCAACGGGTCTGTTCCCGTGGCTCCTCCAGCCTCTTCCAAGCTCCTCTGACCTCCTGTCGTTTCAAAAAATCATTCCCGTCGCTCCTCCAAGATTATCCAAGTTTATCTCGATTCCGCGTCTCACTAGTCACCACTACTATTTGGTGGGACGAGAGGGGGCTATGAATAACTATCCCCCCCCCCCCCGTGCGGCGCAGGTAAAGTGGGGCTCTTCTATTTGACATCATCAGAGTTAGTGTGGATTGGCATTGTTCTGGGCGTCGGGCGAACACTCCGATCAGCAAAAGCAACTCATTCGAAAGAGGGACGGTGAGATGGTCCAATCGTGTGCGTATGTGTTGTCCTTGTGATGTAGATTTGTGCATGAGACATGCATATGTGTAGTTTTGTGTACTGACGTGGGTAGGATTGAAATTTAGGTCAATTTTCTAAAACAAATTTGGCACATTTTTTTTAATGAGATTATTGCGCATTATTTGTTGCAGTACATCAGTACTAAAAAAGAGCAATGTTCTTTCACCACTGGTCATCACACTATTGCAGGCTACTCGGCGATTGACCTCACCCCAGCGTCGTCCCCTGATGAGCTGTACAGCTGGTCCATCAGCTTCTTCACCTCGGGGATGAAGCAGTCGGAGTAGTTGGTCCAGCCACCCACCAGCGTCTCGTGGTGTGCCCGACCCCGCCATATACCGTCCTCCAGACAGTAACGGCGCGCGAACTCTGACAACACAAACGGGCCAGCGCGTACATCAACATCAGAAAAGATCCAAGTGAAAGTGATGTCTAGTTACTGAGCCCTAGCAGATCTTGAAAACTATTATACATCATAGGAGACAGTAATCAAAAAGGAATATATGTTAATACATACACCTGAGATGCAGCGTCGGCAATTTTGACGTCGGGTAAAGGTTGAATATTCGAGCTACGGTACACACTACACACGGAACATAGTGTTATAAGTACAGGGTACACGGTACATACATACATACGGAATCTCAGGATCGTCTTAGTAACAAGCGTTTGCGACACGCAGCTTAATGCGACACGCAGAAAATGACCTCACAGGTCAAGTAAAAATACAGATTATCAGTATTTTGGCTTGTTCACAATTTAGTCTCTGGCCACCGGCTAACATGTCGGATCAGGCTCATTTTTTGTTTACTCACTCCTTGATATATGTCCTAGATACCCTGAGGATACCGAACTTGAACTTCGAATTTGTCAGGTCAAGGCCAGGTCATCCTAGGTCACGGAAATTTTATATCGTGTATCGGTCACGTGACGTATGTTTATACTGTCCATTTCACTCATAGATTTCGAAAACATATTGTCTGAGTCATTAGAGGTTATTTTTCAGCTGCATCTAGCTGAGGTCAGGTCACTTCCTGAAATTTCAGGCAAAAAAGGTCAAATTTTGAAAAAAGGTGTTTGTCAGATGCAGTTTGAGCTCTAAAACACGATGGCGCTATTTATATTACTGTATTATGTCAAAAAAGTACTGAAGATTGGATTTGAAAAATCTAAGTTTGTGAAATTTTGACTAGAATGCGTATAACTCAGTCATTTTTTTGAAGATATTGGGCAACAGCTTTCTAGATATATATATATATATATATATATATATATATATATATATATATATATATATATATATATATATATATATATATATATATATAGGTACCGTTTTTTCGTATAGTCAAATATTTCTGGAAAAAATCTTTTTTTTTGTAATTGTATTTGTGTATTTTCCGGGATTTTCGAAGTTTTGAAAATCCTAGCTGGTAGTTGGATAGCCAAGTGTATTTTTTGTCCAGCATGCAAAGAAATAGGACTTAGCCTAAAAACTGAGCTTTTGAGAGCGATTACGGTAAATCAATGTTTTGCATTAGAATCGGCCGACATGACGTCATTCTGACGTCATTTTCGGCCGACCTTGCTAGAAAGTTGTAATTTGAACACAAGATGTCGAATTGATGCTGCTGAAGGTATTGCAAGTTTCGTGTTGATACGTCAAGTGGTTTAGAAGATATTGCCGAAAAACGGGAGGGGCTCTGTAGAGCCCCCTCCCCCAGTCATGCGCGGGTTAACAACTAATGTGTAACTGCAAGATATTGCAGTTGTTCTTAAAATATTTCAGCAATCGTCTTTTGTTTTATCATGAAAAGCTTAACCCGGCGGCCGCTGGGCCTCCGCGCCACCCGCCGGCCGCTGGGGGGGGCATATAGTTGCCCCCCTTTACTTCTGCGACGATATCGTCGCAACGCGAAGAGATAGAGAAGCGAAACTTTGCACACATCTTCCTGAATACCTAGCCGAGGTTATGTCCAAATTTGGTGTCGATCCCATATGAAATGACGTCACAGTGACGTCATAAGTGAAATTATAGATTTGCGACTCTCATATTCCTCACGATACATCAGATATATGGGACCGAATATAAAGGGTCGATTATTGGTCAGAAACTAGATGGAAGTGTAGTTAGATGTTTTAGGATGACAGCAGGTGCTGTGTAGTTCATTTACAGTTGAGTTTCATGCTGAGCGTCATCAGAAACGGTCCATATCGGAAAACGACAAAACTTTATGACGTCACTGTGACGTCATCTTTGGTGCTACAACCACCAAACTTTCCTCAAACATTGCCTAGGTATTCATTTGAAGCTATGCCAAGTTTCTCGTTCGTAGCTCATCAGGTTTCGGAGATATTGCACAAAACGTAAAGGGGGGGGGCAACTTTATGCCCCCCCCCCCAGCGGCTCGTGGGTTAAGCAAAAGGCATGCAAAAAATGACATGCCAACAGAAACAACAACCCAATGACGTAATGACCTTCATCAATATATTGTATTTAACCCGCGCGGGGCTTGGGGGGTAAATTTTACCTCCCCTCGCAAATTTTTGCAATATCTCAAAAACGGCGGCGCGCAGCGCCGCCAAACTTTCAGTACCTTTTTTTACATCAATTTGACACGTTCCCTGAAAATTTGAGCGAAATCCGTCGGAAAATTTTTGAGAAATTGACGTTTTAGTGACGCCATGTTCGCCATTTTCGCCTAAAAAACGGCAAAAGTTCAAACGCCGCTAACATCTTCATTTTTAAAGGAATCAAGACGTAACAAAAAAGGATATACGTAATTCTACTTTGTCTATTAAATGGCTATCTCGGTTTTTTGAAAATTTTGGATTTTGGCCCATTTTTTCAAAAAACTGACTTTTTTGGGAAAATAATTATAAAATCCAAAATTTTGAGTGTATCGAAAAAAACGGAATGTATGTCAGAGAAGTGGCCTATGTGCACCTACATACCAAGTTTTAGAAGAATCGGTTCAAAAATATGGGAGTTATTCAAAATTTTATGACGTCACGACAAACAAAATTTTTGAAAAATGATATTTGTGAAAGTTCTAGACCTCGCACGGAAACAAAAATAGCACCATTCGATTCGCCGTGACAAACTGCATCAGATAGACACCTTTTTAGGCCTTAACAACCAACTTCAAAATTTGACCTCACTTGACCTGACCTTGACCTGACCTCGACCTGAAATTCATCCAGAGGTGGTCCATATCACTTATTGAGTGTGCCTATTGAATTCTATGAGTAAAATGACCCATAAAACATGTGTCGCACATGCCCTTTTCTATATTTTGTTTTTGGTGACCTGACCTGACCTGACCTGACCTGACCTGACCTGACCTTGACCTTGACCTCTGAATGACATCGTATGCAACAAATATTGTCTTGGTAGCCTAAGAACACGTTTTGGGCGATCAGTCTCAGTCCATGACTCCATTCTTCGGCAACTACGGTGCAAGGCCGATACTGTAGGAACTTGCAATTTGTACCCTTGACCTGACCTTGACCTTGACCTCAAACTTAAAATTAAGTACATGTTGTTAGTTGTTCGTGATGAGATCTTTCGATTGGCGTTTGAATTTTCCAAATCGGACCATTAGTTCGGGAGATAACAGGGGGGGTAAAATTTACCCCCCCCCCCAGCCCCGCGCGTTCGGCTGGAGATCCCAGCCCCGCGCGGGTTAACCTCTAATGAAAGAAATTCCGAGAGCAAGACCGACCACAAAGAAGCAATAAGGAATGCTAACGCGTGGTTACAAGTGTTCCAGTGACCCTCTTGCGACATTTCAAAAGAAAGCTAAGCTTATAAAAAGTTCCACACAGATTTAAGGTAGGTACAATGTGTGATATCAAGGCCCCGCAACACCTACTTCTTATTTGTGGTATTCAGCATTCAGTAACAAAGATTCTTTGCTAAAATGTAAGATGTTTTTATGTCATTCCCGCTCGTTGCATTTCAGCGCACATTAGAAGACATAACTATGAAATAACCGCCGCGATAGCTCAACACAGGCGACGCCCTGCTCATACTGGCCGAAAAACATCGTGGGTCAAGCCGCCAATGTGTTGGAGCTGGACTTACTGTTGGGATCCACGCCCTTGAAGGGTGGACAGGGCAGCAGCTGCTCAGTGGACGGCGCCGTCGGAGGCCAGCAGAGGATGCTGTCGAACGTGGCATTGCACCACCCATCTGAGAAGCAAAGAAAATATATGAGAGACCACGCAAATCGATACAAATTAAATTAGACCGTTATCACACTGGCTGTGTTATTCAATCCAATTTGTACCAGTTTGTAGATGAAGCTTTAAATCCGATGTAGCTTTTGTGGTAGTCTGTTTGCTTTGATCTGGTATTTTTACGAGGGAGAGACGCGGCTTGTTTTGACATAGTTTCCTGTCTGATCCTCTGAAATATGGTAACGCGATTATAAAACCAGGCAGTAGGCTGCGATATTTCGGACTGAATCTATTCGTATTCTGATCAAACATGCCGTTTTATTAAAAACACCACATGAGATACGAGAAATCATCATCTAACACTTTCATCATTTGTTTGGGCAATCAAATACAAGTATACGATGGTAAGAAGGGCTCCTAGCTATTTGATCGTCAGCTCAAACATGAATTTAAATTGGTTTGGTAAATTTCTTATCAAGCTTCGGCACGACCTATAGGCTGATAGAAAACCGGGATCGGTGTGTGACGTGTGTGTAATATCAAATAGCGGAATGTTGTGTACACAGAAGTAAGGTATTCGGTATATATGTGGAACTTAGGCTTAACCAGATGTCCAATCATCGTCCGGATACCAGCCCAAGAGGATTTTATCGAACTGTAATTCTGACATGATTGGCTCTAACTTTCCAGCTGACTGCATGATGACTTTGGCAAGTTCCACACATGAAAGAACTAGACTCCATTCCCTCGTCTAAACAGAGTTACAAATTGACTGTGAATTTATATCTTATTTCAACAGCTCAATCCACATTAGCAAACAGCACTGTAGCAGTCAATTATAAGAAAAAGGAATGACATTACGACCTTTGGAAACTTCCCCGGATTGGCGCATGCATAAGCAGCCAGCATATATTTGACATGGCCACCATGCAAATATATCAACTGTCATTGCCAAAAGTAAAACATCCCTCTGCTAGTAAGACCTATTGAACCTATGTTTATATAATGAAAATTAAATACATACATCCTCCTAGCTGCATCATTTCAGCGAACCACAAAGTCATACATTTTATGGAAATAAGGCATAAAGAACTACGTATAATCGGTGTAGCTTATAAGCCATTGAAACGTATCTTTAGTGGACAAATTATCGACGAAACCGTAATTCATGTTAGACTAGGGTTAGATATCTCCTTCTTTCTGTTAGGTATTCTACTACCATCTATGTATGATCTTTATTCGCTTCATGTGACGTATGATGCCCTTCAATTAGTACTGTCATGGGCCAATTTACTAGCCCCAAGCTGCCCATCTATTACGATCCTTTCTAAAATAAGAACGATGGTTTGAATCTCCATCATTTTTCCAAAGGTTTAACCTGTAATGCATCTCCAAACGGAACATGAGTCTGTCCCGAATTACTTTCCAGGACGCAATGATTAGCTGTCAGTCCCGGGCGCAGCAGAGCACCATCAGGGCCATAATTGCGGGATTACCGGCAGCGATAACTGGTGAACGCTCGGTACTCAGGCGACACCGCTGGATACCGCAATTTGCCGGACTTACCGTCGAATGGCCCGCACAGTTCGCTGTCATTGGACACAGCCATGACACAGATGAAGTTAAGGTAGGCATCAAATCAACTGCATGAGATTACCGTTTCAAAATATCGTCATCCTCGCATTGAACACTATATATTACTGACCGGGCCGACGAAATTATTTGGAAACGAGGTTTGCAAAATTGACGTAGGCCCGAGTGCGAAGCACGAGGGCCGGAGTCAAATTTTGCAAGCCGAGTTTCCAAATAATTTCGTACGGCTGAGGTCAGTAAGATTTTTCCTACATGCCGCATACCTGCTAGGTTAGTTTCGACAGGTTTTGGTGACACTTTTATGCAATTGTTTTGTCCATATTTTCCTAACAGTGATTGCGCTACTGCTGTGGATAAAGCCTTAAAGGAAATTTATAGAAGAAAATGCATCAAAATACCTTACTTCAAAAAGAATCACGTCTGAAAATATCATCTCAGAATGGCACAACAAATGGATATCCAGAAACATAATACTTGAATGATTTGCCACGACATAAGAACAAGAAGAAGGTATAATATTCCTAGTGATTAAACGCGAATTTTCCCAGTGCTCTTGCAAGAATCTTTGCTTTATTTATTTAATCGTACTTTGCTGATATGCCCTATGGCTAAACGTTCGTTAAATACATTATATTTTCCATGTTTAACATGTTTGTTTCGAGGAAAGGACTACAACTGCCAAATAAAAACGCATTAACTCAGGCCCAAGGCATCAGTGGACCACTGGACATATCAAACGAAGATGAGACAACAAGTGATAACGGATTTCGATTAATAGGTGCATATCTTACCATAATTTCGGCTTTGTAACCAATACAAAATATTTCAAAACCCTTGATAAGCAGAGCAGATATTTACCAAAAAATATTAGTTTTCTAATTTTACGCGGCAAATATCATGCAATAATGATGTCAATTATACATTCCCTGTCAATTATACCTCCTCTCGACTAATGCGATAAACTGTAGTTTAGAGGTCATTGCCCTGGGCAGTAAACTCGGGCAGTAAACTTTTGTTTCCTGCCCGGCCTATCAAATAACATGGCATTTTGACACCGACAGTTTCTTGGTCATAGTTTTACTGCCCGGCTCGTGCTGTGCTTAAGACATACCCCGGCATGTAGGAAAGGGAACGCATGCCCAGCCATTTTACTAGCATGACACAAGCGAAGCGACACGTGAGCACACACAATTACTACAAGGAAAGATCAAACGAAGAAGCCTTTTAAATAAAAGGCTCAAATCTAAGTTCATATTTGAGCGATGTAGTCAACGCCAGTTTAACATCTGGCCGCGTGCCAGCGGCGTGGAAGCACGCAATTATCACCCCCATTCCAAAAGGGAAGTCGGCTGTTTCCGACCCTGCCCAAACGCGCCCAATATCCATGCTCCCAGCCATCACGAAGATAACCGAGAGAGCGGTGCAGCTGCAACTCACCGACTATCTGGAGTCCCACCACCTGCTCAGCGACGCTCAGCACGGCTATCGGAGGCACTACTCGTGTGAGACGGCGCTGCATGTGGTGTCTGATGACATACTTCGTGCCATGGACTGTGGCGAAATTACTCTCTGGGCTATGGTTGACTTATCCAAATGTTTTGACATGGTACCGCATGATAGGCTAATCGAAAAGTTAGAATTGTATGGCATTGATCATTTCTGGCTCTCTGACTATTTGAAAGGTCACACTCAACAGGTTCAGGTTTCTAACGGTGAAGGAACTGTCACCAGATCGACTGTGAAAGAAAACTCCGTTGGGGTGTATCAGGGAGGTTCCATGAGCTGCATACTGTGGTCAATTTTTGCTAACGATTTGCACTTACACATACCCGACACAGTGCGAATCGTTCAATTTGCCGACGACACTCAGATCTGGACGACCGGTAAAAAGCAGGATCTACCGCTGCTAATTAGCAGGATTGAAAGTGCTCTCCACTGTATGTTTAACTGGTTTTGTGACCACGGGATGAAAGTTAACGCTGAAAAAACAGAGTTCATGATTTTTGGTTCACGTCAAATGCTCAGAGATGTCCCCTGCGATATCAAAGTAAATTTCGTTGGCTCCACCGTTACCTGCTCAAACCAGGCGCGAAATTTGGGTGTGATTTTTGACAGGAACATGACCTACCAGCCCCATGTAGACCAGCTCGTTCCGAAATGCACCGGTATATTGATTGCCTTGAACCAAGCGAAGCATGTTATCCCCACTGGCACCCTGAGAACACTGATTACTGCGCTTGTCTTTTCGATCGTCCGGTATTGCATATCTGTATACGGTAGCTGCAACAAATCCCAGATTCATAGAGTTCAGAAGTTGGTCAACTTTGCTGCCCGTGTATTGAGTGGACGGCGTAAACACCAGCACGTCTCAGATGTCATCAACGATGTTGGCTGGCTAACCGCGCGCGAGTTGTACCTGTACCACCGCATCATCGCTGTGCACCGACTCGTGACGCTACAGTTGCCCGCGCCGCTGGTTCGTACCATCGGCCGGCCCGCTGGTCAGCGGCACCGGCACCAGACGCGGGGTGCCGACCGCCTCACTTTGCCGCGTATCTGTACCGAGGCGGGCCGCAGGCGACTCTGCTACAGTGGTGTGACGGCGTACAATGACGTGCTTGCGTCGCGGGGCACTGTCAGCAGAGGGAGCGTCATTACCTATCTGTACAGGGCGCGGTGATAGGCAATCTTTTGTGATCGAACCGGCGGATTGCGGCATAACTTATTTACTGGTGTGTACATGTGCTTATGTTTGTGCGAATCAAAACTACTTCCATTGTCCATTGAGCCATCTGACGTGCGAGTATGAAAAGCCCCAGTGTACTGTGGATTATTCGTGAATACACATCTGTATCTGTATCTGTATCTGTATTTTATGAGCATTGAATCTAAGAAACATTCAAATGGTTCACATCATCGGAAGCTTTCATGCCAAGCTAGAAATGTGTGCGAGCTATTCTTATTCTCATATTGAGAGCATAAAAATGCGCAATAATTCAAACCCGATCAGAAAATAGTTTTTAAACAAGCCCCAGCCGGATCTCAGCATACACTCTGCACGAAAGAATCACTATAAAAGGGAGGCCAGATATTTGATGCATCCAGTGGATCCATATTCGCCGAGAGGGTGCGCCGAGACCCCGCACGTCACTCCAACTCGGCAGTTCAACAAAAGGCCGGCCAGCGGCGTAAAAGCCACTCAGTATTCTTTGTTGTTGAGACTCGGATGTGACAGTGTGCTCCGTCGACCGTTGGCAGTCTGTCACGGCTTGAATGCTCTCACAGCAGCTGTCGGCACTCGGGAGCAGCCCCACTTTACCTCCGTGGCTCGACTTTCCACACTCGGTGAACTGCCGGGGTACCGGACCAGGAGTCCGTGCGCTCATGCACTAGACTGACACGACTTGGCCTTTCACACCT